GCGTCAATTTTCCTAAAAGCTATCTGTCAGATCGAGGTTGTCTCAACTAACATGCGTTTTATGCATTGCACACCATTACATATGACAAACGTTTTTTATTATTATCACGTCGAATATTGTTGTTATCGTTACTGACATCTGAAAACTCTTGCACTTGCGTTGCGAAATTGGTGTTAAGTGGTTACACGAGGATGGAGATCAATAGGGTTGCTGCGGCCTTGGGATTGATTTAGAGTTCTCCTCCTTGCTGCCGAGTTGATGGCGTGGCCACGGCCTCTGCACATGTTAAACGAACGAAGCCACTTTTACTCGCCAGCTCCGGCAATGCGGCATTAATTAAATGGGCTCCTGATGGCTACCGTAGCATGAACACAGTGGTTAAAGTGGCTGGGCGGAGTGGGGAAGGGATCGGCCCAGAAACAGGGTGGGGTCAGTGGCCCTTTTAGCAAATGCAGGGGCAGAGGTCCACTTCAACAGCTGTGCATAATCAAGTGATTAGAAAATAGGCGTGGTGGGAGGAGGAGGAGGAGCGGCTGGGCGGCAGATAAAAGGTACAGGCCAGGCGTCTTGAAGTGGCCTTCACTGCTCGATTCAGGGAGAAGATGAGATCCAATGGAAAGATGTGGGCCCAGGGACTTGCCTGTCCACTGTTTGACCCCTATCGCATTCCTTACTCTGATTTTTAAGGAAGGAAAGATCAACCTCGGAACCAATCGACTAATTAAAAAGGGCGATCTGAAGAAGTTGACAATGCCGAGCAAACTCAAAGATGTGAGCGTTCTATTCTGCAAAACTATTATTCCTTAAATAATAAGCAGAAAAATGAACGTACGTCGAAATAGAAAGTTTTTTTTTAAGATTATAAAATAAAAATGTACTGATAGTTATACACTTCCACACATACAATTACGCACTATTCATAACCAGTGATGATAATTTATGATGATACAATCGAAAATCACGCGTGCCTTCATTTGCAGTATTTTATCTAGCGATTGACAATTCGCCGGTGAAACGTTCTAAAAATAAATTATTTCCATCGGAACGTTTCAGTTTTATATTTACATTTCTCTTCCAGTGCCTCGGTAACCAATCCCGTGGCAAAGTTCCTCGCGCGCTGCCACAACTTTCTGGTCTGGGATTGGCTGGGATGGCCTCTGAGGCCCCTTCTGTTTGCCAATTCCCTGTGCGCCTCAACTTAATTGCCACGAATTCCACAATCATATATTTTTTTCAGCTAATCAGCAACTTGTGCACCCCAATTAAACAACTCTCCTTAAAAACCGTCTTGTGCTATAAGAAAAAAGAGGGTTGTGTCAATTTAAAGCAAGAATAGGGATCTGACACATTTAAAATTATCTACTGCGTATGAGAGGCATGGTCACGTTAAACCGAGAATGACTTACGCACCTGATGTGTTGTTATCAACATTAAACGCCACTGGATTCCAAACAAGTAAAACATAAACTTTGCTTTTGAACTCGAATAATTATGGAAAGAGTTTTGAGACGTACATTGCACTTCATGCCAATGCCAGTTTCACAATGTAGCCCGGAATAACGGTGAATAGAATGTGTTATGGAAATTAGGAGACTGTTAGCCTTTGGACGAGGGCCCTCGTGAGTGGCTTCGAGCATTGGCGCTCACTCGCATCTCTTGCGCCGCATAAGCAGGGGCGGGATGAATGGTCGCTTATAGCTCGGGGACCCCCCCAATCTTTGTTCCGAACTCCGTGGACACAATGGAGACACAAGTTGGTGGCGAGTCTCGCCGACGGAATTAACGCAATCGTGGATTTAGGTCGCTGGGATTTCAATTAGCGGGGAATTTAGGCTGCGCCGCTGGGAAAGTTTCAGAGCCTGCCCCCGTGAGCAAAGCTTGGAAGTGTCAAGCCTCGCTAAATGTATGTTTTGGAGTAACTGTGGAAGTTCATGAACAATAATCTGTAACCGTTTCTATTTAACGAAAATAAGTGTGCTGCCAAGGAGCTCTTAATCCAAATCTCATGTCAGTTTTGTAAATGGAAGTTTGGCGCTTTTGTGAGCTCCCATTGACGACTCGTCTTGCGCACGGGGGTTTGTGGAACCGTGCGCGAGTGAAAGGGAGTGCGATTATGAGTGCGTGTGCAGGCATGCGAGCGTGTGTACGAGCGCGTACACGAGGGGGTACGGGATGAATGGGCGAGTGTTCAAGCGGGTGTAGGTGAGAGGTATAGAGCGAGTTTGCGTGCAGCTCTGAATAATGCAATGCATGGGTGTGTGAACAGTTGTGAGAGCGGATGTCTAAATTCAACCAATGGTGAAATTACGATAGTCTGTGTGCGAGTGCATTGGAATAAAAAGACGTATACAGTGTTTGTAAACCTGTACATGGAAGTGTCCTCTCCCAACATCGGAAATGTAAGTGCTGAAAATGGAAAATTACGAGCACACATCAATGAGAAAAAAAATAAGATGTTTAAAACTTTAGAAGGAGACATTTAAAAAAAATGGCCCAGGGAAAGACATGTCTCCCAACACCCGCCCCCATCAGAGGTGTGGCAGAAAAAACCAAGTGCGCTTCTGTACGAACACGTGTGTACTCGTGCAAGTGCGTGTGCTGTTATGTGCGGGGGTGTGCATGCGGTGCGCAAGGGGGTGTGCATTTCATGCGCATGCAGACAGCATCTGTCAGCAGCCCAAAATTGTGCCCGAGTCACCAGATATCGAACCCTGGCTCCGAGCACGTCACGTTTATCACGACTGTCCAATTACAGCAGAATGTTTTTACTAATGTCTGTGATGTAAGTGCGGGTGGATTTCATTCTTTCTTCTCATCGCAAGGATGTTAACCACTAAGAAGGAATCACGTCGAGAGAGTGAACGCAGTTGCACCGAGAGAAAATCCGTAATTGTCAGCGGACACTTTCAAGGTCAAAGAAACGGACACCGTATTGTTTGTTTTCCTTAGAAAGAAAATAAACCTCCAAGTAGAAAGAGAAAAGGGCCACCTGCTCCAAAGTATGCGGTCGGGAATGGTATGAACGAACACCTTAACACGCCCGATCATCCCGTTGCACATACGACGTTGTATTCGGAAGGGGAAAAAATCCAACACAGAGGACATGGTTTACAGGAGTTTTGAGTTGCAGACAGGTATTTTTCTTTTTTTAAACAGACACGTTGTTACCAGGATGGTGTAAGTGTTCCGAGCGAGGATTTTCAATCGCGGGAGCCTTGATTGCCCATCACCCCTGCATTCTCTCGTAACTCGGTCATTTCTGGCAGCGAGGCCGAAAAGGGACCACCTGGCGTCGTGTAGCAGCGGAGGCTTGGGTTTCGGTCAAACGTGCCAGACAGAACACCTGTTTATTAGGCATTGTTCGGAAGCCAGTATGCTGTAATCTCACACAGGCTCGGTGACATTGTAAATCACGTGGCTGTACACACAATCTGATCAGCGTAAAGACTCGGGCTTCAGTTATAATGGCACTTGGATAATATTACATGTACGCAGTGTTATGTGTGTGTACATTTAAGAACCTGGGGAGTGGTAGTGTAGTAGTTTGTGGACTCCTCGAGGTATCGAGCGACCTTAAATTTCCGACCACGGCCAACATGAGCGGTACATTTCTGAACCGGTGCAGAGCCTCCTGTAGGTCGACCCAAACTTAAAGCAGGACCTGGTGTTTGTGTGTAAACTTTAGCAATGGCAGAGGTGGCTGTGGTGGTCCCGGCCACACCACCACCATGTGTGTCGCATCGGCCTGAATAGGTGCTCACTACCTGCACTTGCCCCAACAGCCTGCATAGCTCCACGGGGAGGGGGGGGGATTATTTTTGTTGTTGTACAAGTAAACACGTTAACACACACAAACACAACGAACACAGAGTGAACAGCACGCCTAGCACCAAACGTCACGGAAAAAATGTGCCACCGTCAATATGGCAGTGACAGCACATGGTAGACGTAGAGCAGCTGTTTTAGTAGCACAGCAGAGAAAAGTTAAACGATACACTGCATATAATTTGATCCGTGGTATGTACATCTAGTGTGAGAATGTGCACAATTGTGTAGGTTCAGTGTGAATATGGGCAACCGGCTGTAATGAGCGCTGGTTTCTGAAAATAATTATGGAAACAAAAAGTATGCATGCGCAATAACTATTTAAGACTTTACAACATGCATTTGTCTTCGGAAGTATTTAATTAGCAGTATGAACGCCGCCGGCTAGCTGTCAGGGACAACAGTGTGTGCATATTTGCAAAGTCCTTTTTACTTGGGTTTTGTGCCAATTCTCAATAGGGTAAGTCTTAATAGCAACAGTTTATACTGAAGTTTCATTCCTATTGGATAATCTTCAGGTAAGTTATGGTGTCCTTCTCCCCTCACTATTGATGGACAGAGGTTAATTATAAACGCTTTCGACCGTATTTTTAGAGAGTTTCAGATTGATGCTCAAATAGATGATCTGTGACATGAAGGTCGAGCTGTAATGTTTTGTCCATGTGGCTTCATACTTTGCAAGATTTGCAACAATATCTGCAGCTGACACAGAACCCAGGATGGGATGTCAACACAGTAAAATTCGTAACGTTAAAATGAATGTCTGTCTGCCTCGTGTGAAATACATACATGGCTACTGTATATTTAGCCGAGGCTGAATAGGTGGAAAGTGACCAACTGATATATTTTTTATATATACAGTATCTTCAAGTGAGCGGATCAGATGTTTGTTCGGAATGCATGCCTCTGCAAGCATAGCGGAGTTTTTTTTTCCCCTTGTAGCCATGTGAAATAAACACCCTGGCTCATAGCTCATCCGTCATCGATACTGTCTGTCACTCTGTGTGCATGACCCCCATCATCTCCATCGTCACAACCTGCCAAATTCCTAGCCCCAATTAATGTTTGCCAGCAACTGCCATAGCCACCAATTTCTCTACAGTTGTCATCGATAACCGTCTGCATAACGCTTATCACTCATCGCATAAAGAACACAAAAAACAAGACAGACAACATGCCTGTAATGCAAATTTATTTAAAAAATTATACAAGCTAGGGATAATTACAGTGTTCAATATACTAGCATGCATTCCTGCAGGCATTATTTAGTCCTAGAAACACGCTCATTGAATATAGTAGCTTGTAAAAAAAAATCGAAACTCAAGTAAAGCATTTGTGGCGGCCTAGACTTTTAATTGAAAAAAAGTTGCAGCAGGAAATCTATTAAACCACACGGCTGTTCAGACCATGTAGGCAGCTCGTTAGCGGTGGCTCTCACGTCTTTGTTTTTATACCAGTACGGTTTGTGCTATACCCAGCTCGCGCGACCCTCAAGTGCCAAATCTGTTTAAAACACTGGTTCAAAAGCGTGCACAACTACAGCCCAATTACTAACTCAAGGCATGTGCTCTATCTGGTGACATTATTTCAACAACAAAAAACAAGGCTTAAAGATGTTTTCAAAGTTAAGGGCAGTATAGACATATCTGTACATACTAACATAATTATCATACGACCATGACCTTGCAATTTAAGTAGCACTTATAAATGTACATTCAATAGTTTAGGAGGACTGCAGTGGTGGTAAGTGGTTTAGCGGCTAAGGATAAGATTCCTATGATGGTAGGTACCCACCTGAATATTTGGCAGGAAACCATTGAAGTGTATAGGCTAATGATAAGGTATATATGAATTCCAATACAGGCTACTATATTTGTTATTAGCTACATTTCCACTCTCATCTTCCTTTCCACAGAAATAAGCAACATAAAAAACATTTTCCAAAATAAAATTTTCATTTTAGTCAGTGTGCATTACCTTCTATGACATACAGATGAGAAGAATGGATGACATTTCACTTACAGACAGAAATAGGAACTCATGGATCAGAGAACATATGCCAGTTAAAGACATCTTATTGACTGCTATGAAAAGATGAGCTTGAGCAGGACACGTCGCTAGAAGTGATTATTGCTGGTGGTCGAGGCTAACAACGGAATGGCAAAGGAGAAAATCAAAGAATGATGGAGTGATTACATTAGATAATTTGCAGATGCTAGATGGATTGTTGTAAGACAGGACTGAGGGATGGAGATAGCTTTCAGAGGCCTTAATATAGCAGTCTATTGATCATGCCTGATTGATGATCATCAATAAATCCGACCAGTCCCAAGGCATTGCTCTACCATCCCCTGCATGGGGTCCACATCTCCAGCACGGTGTCTCCATCATGCACGTGATACACGGAGTGCATAGCAGCCGCGGCACAGGACTGCATTGCACACACACCACACGCAACACATCATTCATGAGGCAGATAATCAATGTGTAACACCTTGTTGAGCAGTGCAATCCTTTGTGTTAGAGAGCAAGCCACAGAGGCAGATATCACAGAGCTACCTGTGAGATCCCTTCAAGTGACCTCTGGTTCACACTGTAGGTGGCAGCACTCTCTCACCCACGCTGTCGATGAGTAATATGCGTCACACGACAGTCGGAACCAATATCTATTTTAATTCTCAGAGCCGGAATTTAGCCAAATAAAGTTAAGAACCAAATGTTATGTCATGGATATTCATTCAGTCATCGGTGACCAGGCTGAATGTTTTCCAACTTATTTTAATTATGCTATGGTGTCACAAAGTATTCATTCAGAACTCTTGCTGATTAATACAACCGCATGTTAGAGAACTTCCACAGGAGGATATTTCATAGACTACTTCTGACATCCCTTCAATTGACCTGTTTATAGCTCAGAACTACGGGGAAAGAGCGCCCCACACTGGCTGAGTGAGGTGCACATTTACCACACCCAGCTGCAGAGAAATGTTTGTCGCATGGCAACAAACCAGCAGCCTTAATAAGGGGTCTTTGCCCAGATTCGACCCCAGGATCTCATCGGTGCTGGCTCAACTACATTCATTAGACACTATATATTGTTTTTATCATACACCAAATTCCATATTGGTCCTATATGTTGAAATTAATTCCATATTTAAAGCTTTCGTGACTGCAGGGATTCATCTTCTGTAGGGATTCATCTTCAAGTAGCCTAAGGCCTAAGGCTACTTGTGTTGTGGCCGAAACGTCGTGAGAATTTGTATTTTTTTTTATTTTATTCCCATTCTACGTGACTTTACCGAAAGAACCCAGAAGATTAATTCCATAGCCTAGTTCAGTTAGGGGCCATCCATAAATGACGTCACGCACCTGGGGGGGGGTTCAGACATTTGTGACGATGTGTGACAAGGGGGGGGGGCGGTTTGAGAAATGTGACGTCACATCAAAACGCGAAACTTTAAATAAATATAAACACGTTCTACTTAAATAGACTTTTTAATCAATCTTTTCCCCTACAATATCAGAGTGCAGCGCCACATTAAATACGCACTACAATGACAAGTTTAAAGCGATTTGAAGCATGATTTTTTTTGGGGGGGGGCAGAGCTTTGTGACGTCATATTTGTGACGCCGTGTGACGATGGGGGGGGGGGGTCAAAAATCGTCAAAAATCGCGTGACGTCATTCATGGATGGCCCACTTACTGCCTTGTCCACATGTTGTCTTACATGGTAAGGAATGAGGAACAACGCTGCCCCAAGTGGAAATTTCTCAAAGTCCATCTCTTGACCTTCCGAGGCGTCAATGAGGCCATGCTCTTGGCTCATCTCCACTAGTCTGGCGATACACACAGCAACAAGGGAATAAGCTCGAGAAGTTAAATCACTGGCTTAGTGTAGATACTGTTTTTTTCTCGCGTAGATTGAGATACCTGGAATTTACTTCCTTTGTTCGTGCTTATCAATTTATCGTGTTTATGTCGAGTCTTGACAAAAATCAGTTCATTATCAATGTCCATCATAAAGATGGACATTGACAAGTGGATTAAAAGTTGAAAAAGATTCAAAGAAGCAGGAGAGGTATACTATTGGAATTACACTGACAGACAGAAATAGGAACATGTGGAATAGAAAACATGCACATTAGAGACATAATATTGACAGTTAAGAAAAGAAAGTGGCCTTAGACAGAAGACATTGCCAAAAGAGACATTGTTGTCTTTTACCACCGGCTATCAGATGATATCAGATGATATCAGATGACAGCTGGTGGTGAAAACTAACAATGGAGTGGCATTCAAAGGAGGGATTTGATGCAATGCAGGAATGTAACAGCAGTGGCTTGGGGAGGGCTTCATCCAACAGTGGCTTGATCATGGCTGATAAATGCTTGCCAAAAAATGTGAACATAAATCTTCGCGTTCCAAATATTATATGCGTTTAAAGATCACATCCCATACTGCTGTTGAAAAATAATGCACTCACAATCCAGTGTAAATTCTCCCATGAGCACAAAAGATGGTGAGCTGTGTATAGCAGAAAAAAAGGGGGAATGCGTATTTGTCAAGCAAACTGCAATCAGGGAGGATACAGGGATATTGGCACCGAATCTCGGGATGGTCCTGGATCACGGCATAACCGGACGGCAGACGGCCGTGTCCATGCAGACTGATGGCCGTCCACCCGCAGTCCACCAGGAGCTGCCCTCTGTGGCGGATGTGAGCGACGACCCGCGTAAGCACGCGCACAGCGACGTCCTCCGCGCGGCATGAGCCAAGGTGCAACTGCTGCACATCTGTGGGTCACGTTCATGCATGCACACATCACATCACGTGCACTGCATGTGTCCTCAAAAGTGCCAGCAAAGAGTACTTATTTACATACAGGTTTATTTATAAATAATACTGCCCTAAAGCATAAAAGATATATACTCTGTATGTGTTTTAACTTCTTTTAAGGCAGTGTTATTGACAAATGAGTTCGAGTTTTTCTTAATGCTGCTTATTTCCATATATATACGAAAGAGGAACACGGTGGATTCGAGAACACATGCAGGTTAATCACATAATTAAACCTGTTTAGAAAGATAAGTCGGTTTAGGCAGGACATATCACTAGAACGGATGGTGATCAAGAATAATGACAGAGTGGCAGCCAAAGGAACATGTCCGAGAGTCCTTCATCGTGGAAAAGGAAAGGTGAAATCGGCTCACGTGCAGGCATTAGATGAATTATTGTATCTCAGGACTGTGGGCATTAGCGACTACTTTTCTTGCGAAGGCATTTATCCAGCAATGGAATGATTATGGATGACGACGATGATGATGCCTGTTGTTCGGTAAATTATGGTTTTACGCTCATGTATGTGTGTTGTTTTGGGGTGGAAGCCTCACCGTAGAAGAAGTAGTTGCCTGGGTGCACCTCGGAGAGGGCGCCCATTCGGGGGACTGGCAGGCTGCAGGAAGGTGTGGAGCCAATGCTGGAGCGAGTGGTCACCCCAACTTCAGCCAGTCTGTAAAGTGGTAGGTAGAGCACATACATCAGGGGTGGGGTGCCTACAGCTTACAAGCCGGATACAACTCGCATATTTATTTTAAAATGCCAAGAGCCACCTGAGGTCTACTTTAAAATGGCCCACAAATTATTATTTATCCATCACTGCATCTTAGCCTCATTAAATGGCTACTAGACGTCATTATTCTAATTATTGCAAGGGCCTTATTGTACTTATTGTACATGGTCGATAGGCACACTACTTTTCGAGTTAAAATTGATCATGTGAACGTGTGTGTGAATGTGTGGCCCATCAATTGTATTTGGAAGTCTTATTCAGCCCTCGGTAAGAAAAAGGATTCCCACCCCTGACAGACATGGAAGTGGAAGTACAGATTCACTGCTTGCACTTATTAACACAATCCTTCCTGTAGTCAGCCAAATCCATCCATCAGGAGGGACATAACACTTGCATTCCATCATTTATGTCCATATAAAAAAAAAAATTCAATGTTTGCTAAACTGTGGTGTCCAGGGTAAAATAATTAAGCATTTACAATCCAGGAAAATTCATAGCTATTACAAACTGTTCTGCTCAGTCTCTCCTCACATTTCAGTTGTAGGCCAAACCAGCCTTGTCCAAATGACTGAATGCAAGGTGCCACTACCTGGTGTTTGCTATCTCACATCATGGGCAAAGTTACGTAATACAATATACACAGCCTTTCACTAATTAGTTTTTTTACAATGGATGTAATTTCATATATTAATTCTATAATTTACGTACGTGTAGGTACTCAACAGACAAGTTGTCAGTATTAAACCCTCTGTGCAAAAGCTGTCGCAATACCAAACCACAATCCGTACCCCCTCGTGGTGAAAACCTCGCCCTTTTGTCTCTATTTGAGAGCAACCAGAAGACAGTGACATGTGGCAAACACCCACCGGGAGCAAAAAGCAAGGATTTTCTCAGTCGTGTTTTCAGCCACTGCCTGGATCTCTGCCACGCTGTGGCAATGGTACGTGTTCCCACAGTGGGCGTAAATGCCATCCAGCTTCATGGCCGCACTGCGACCAATCTTCAGCGCCAAATCGAAGGCTTCAGGCTGGTCCACAAACACCCCAGCTGGATGGTGCACACATACAGTCACCCGTTACTCACTGCTAAGGATTGTGGGGTCACCGCTCCTGCGACTTTTGACCAGTACAAGAGCGTTTTCCAGTCCCAGTGCGCACTGAATCTCAGTGACAGCAACAATACATAAAAAGATGATTTTTGGACAACAAAAGGCAAAATCATGACCATTTTTTTAATACATGTAGTATTGTGATGTCATTGACATGCAAAGCATTATTTGAGGATCAAGCCAATAGCCGCAATTGTGCTTCTATCTACAAATCACCTTTTGCGTGTATTATTACTCTTTTCTGTCTGATGAGTGGCTCACTGGTTTGCGAATGCTAGCTTTGGCACATACCCCTTCCGTTGTTACAGTCGACCTTGAGCCAGATATGCCAGACCTTGCCTTTTGCGAGTGTGCGAGCGGCAAGTCTGGGCAAGGTGTCAAACTCAGACACCAGCACACTGAACACCTCCAGTCTCTCAGTCAGGATGGCACACTGCTCCACTTTGTCTGCGCTCACAGGGAAAGCGTACAGGATATCATCGAAGCCGCCATCCGCAAAAAAACGTGCCTCCGCCAAAGTAGAAACAGCAATGCAGCGTCGTGTGCCTCCGGTCATGATCACTCCACCCTCCCTGGTTGAGAACACAAGGGACATGACAATGAGTACGAACAGAGAATATGTCATTGGTAGTGCTCAACACTTTAGTGACCTTTCCTTTTATGGAAATGAAATATGATTAGGCTCATGGTGAAACAATTCACTCCAGCAGCACAACACAGGGATCTTGCTTGAATTATTTTTGTGGCTTACAAGTTAAATATGTCCTTAGATTATTAAACACAACGAATAATGCATGTTCAATTAATGACAACAATTTGTATAACTTGAGTTAGATTTTTATGGTAGCCATTAATTCATCAGAAACGGGAGCAAAATATTGTTCAGCATTACATATATTAGGCAGCAGAGCACGGTGTAAGTATTATTCTAATTTATAAACTCTTCCTGTGCAGAAATAGAATGAAGCAGCAGAGGGACCACAGCCACTCACAGAGTCTTGTGGGTTTTCATGTGGGGGCGCAGCGTCACCCTCAGCTGCCGGAAGCGCTCCAACATGCGGTCCGCGTTCCTCTGCGCCGTGGGCAGGTTCACCAGGAAGGCCGGCGAGGGCAGCTCGCTCACCAGCCTCGACTCAGACATCCTCTCAAAGAAGCTTAGCCTATCATCGGAAAGATTAACCACTGCGTTCACATTCATGTTATCGTTGTTTTCTTAAATAGTGCCTCATGGAAATGTTCATTTGACTGATCTACCAATTAAATAGATAAACAGGTCACACTTGAAAAAGAGCTATATAAAATCAATGGGCTTTACTTGGGAAATAAACGCATGATTCTGAACTTCTGATATAACATACAAAGGTGTGCTCACAAACAGCAGAAAGGCATGTCCACCATGCCTTGCATTGCCATGTGACCATCACAATCATGTTTATTTTGTTTAACCAGGGGAGAACTCAACAGACCTGGATGAGTCTAATTTGCAAGATCGGACTGGGTCACCAAAATGGCAAAAGCAAAACAAAAATGAAATAAAGTGGACTCTCTATTATCCGCGCTAATGACGGGGAGGACGGCCGCGGATCATTTAATTCGCGGAAAATCCAAAATTATCCATTTTCAGCGGATCTCGATACCAAAAACCACATTTCCCCGCACAGAAGAGTCCGCCCACTAAGTGGATAGCAAAGCCACGCCAACCAAAATCAATCCAATTCTGCCCACTATTGTAAAAATATGCAACTATTGTACTGTAGAGGCGATCGCGTGGATTTCGGATTAACCAGAGCACATATTTGTTCGGTTTAAGCAGGTGACTTGAAATAAAAATTTCCAAGAATAACAATGTATAACAGTTTTTAGATTTGCAAACAAAAAACATACTATGATAATATATGCATTGTCCTTGAAACTGATAGGTCCACACCAAGGGACGGCTTTATTTTGAGCCTCGACCCAATTGGTGCTCGACCAGATGACGCTAAAAGGTGTACAGCTATAAGACAATGCACTATCAAAGTAATGGGGGCTCGGGGTGAGCATCTAGACCTCCTTTGCCAGTACCAAAATATAATAGGGTCGAGGCTCAAAAGAAAGCCGTTCCTTGGTGTGGACCAATCAGTTTCAAGGACAATGCATATATTATCATAGTATGTTTTTTGTTTGCATTTTACTGCAGGTATTGTAGTTAATGCAGACATGAATCCTCGTAAAAAGGTTTCAGTTTTGTTGCCAGAAAAAAGGGGAAACCCCTATTCTTATAGTTTTTAGATCATTGATTTGGGCTTAAGGGTAAATCCATTAGTTATTACATTTGTCAAGATCTCAGGTGTGCGGTTAATCCGCAAATCGGATAAACCGCACACGTGGAAGATTTAGTCTATTTTACAGCAATGAAGAAAAAAGCAATCAGTGCAAAAACAATCGTGTCACATGGGAAATGGAAAATATTGCACGTGAAATGCTCTCGACCTTATTTATTTCTGTCCTATTTCCAGAATTCACATATTTCCGGTTGTGGTGGGGTATTTTATTATTAAAATCACCATTTAACAAGATGTAAGTATTTGCGCTGAACAACCTACAACTCTAAAAGTGCATGTAAACATCGCAGCGTACAATTGTTTACCGCAGCATGTATGCGCATTTTCGTGGAAAACCAATTTGTTGTTGAGCATGGTGGGGGGGCCCTTTCTGAGAAGTGAGCAGTTGTGACGTTGGCAAAGAGCAGCTCTTTAAAAAAAAAACCTCCAACTTCCTCCTCCTCCTCAGGCTTGCTGCTACGGTGTGCATTTCACTTCCATATTCAGCGGTGGCGATGGAAAAAAAAACACTTCACCGCTGCAGTCTCGTTGTGCAATTAGTATGGTACTGTAGAGCAAGGGTAAAAGACAAGTACTGCAACACTAAGTATGTTACTATATGTTGAACTTCGTTTGCACCGCACGTAGCCAGCCGTGCTAATCGGAGGTGCTCGGGGGAAGGACAACAAACTAAACACACAAAAACACGAACAGAAAGAAGTACGTTCTTAGTAGAGTAACATTGCAGAAAGATGCAGCAGTAACATGTCAATACCGTGCATTAGAACCCAAACAGCAGTAACCACTGATGCTCATACTCTAGCTGGGAATTATGCAATTAAACGTTTGTAATTAGATAATCGAGTGCTTAATTGTTTACCTTTCTGCGACAGCTCAGGCCTAGTTGCAGGCTGCTGCTGAATGGACCTGTGGTTATAGCTCCCCCTGCTGGAAACTTTGCGATTAATTTGACTCCAATGTCCAACAAAGACGGACCACTTCATTGGTCCGACTGAGCCTGCCTGAGAAACTGAAGAGGTCAGCAAAGTGAATGGCAGCCAACCCAATCCAAAGGAAACTGAATTAGAACAACTTACAAAAAAAGTCGAAAAAGCGGCTAGCAAAAAGATTGGAGCAGCAGAAAATCTTCCTGAGCAAAAACTCTGAAAAAGTACAGAAGTGAGCCCAAATGATGAAGGGCATTTCAACTGACGTGTCGAGAAATTTAAAGAAAGCCTGGGTAATATAGCATTATTCCGGTGCAAGGTTGGGGAAGGGGGGCACCTGATTTTCCGGTTACAGGGGAAAAAAATGTTGAAACAAACCAAAATTCTGGCCAAAAATCCCCAAGATTCAGAAGCCCCTTGAAGCACCCCGAGTGGTATATGTGCGTTGTGAGTTCACATTCACGGGTTGTGTGGCCCGGTGGAAAGGTGCAAGTTTATGAATCTTCATGGCATTTAAAATATATTTTTTTTCCTGGCCAAATGTGAACATTACTGTATTCGGAACCCATGAATGGGCATTCTTCACGCACCCGTCAACATGTAACGGATGAAAAATCCCCTCTGGTAATTTAGCAGTGCCCAGTACATTGTGTGCAGTTTCTGCCGAACGTATTACAGCACTCTGTTAACGTGGATAAATAATCACATGAATGAAAGATGACGCACGAGAGTTATGCCTGTACAAGTGAGGCGGCCAAAGGAATGTGAAGCGTCACGCACAGTGGTGATTTCATGGCAGGCCGTACTTTCCCATTTCCGTAAATCGATTGGTAGTTTTTAAAAACACTGATTTTTTTGCCAATTATTGGTGTTATTTTTGTTCACAGCCCTTTTAAAATTATTTAGCACTCTGTACATATTTAAAACCATATTTAGGCTCGCATTAAGCTGCTTAAGCAGCTGATGCTAACTGGAACACATTTAGAAAGTGTCCTCTGAATGTCTCCCCCAGTCCAAAATAAAAACCTGTCAGTGATAACCACTACAAACATCTCCTGTCCCCTACAACTACACCCCCACCTCCTTAAAAAAATACAATTCCCTGCGGAGGTACCGCCTGAATTAATCACTCCTCATAATACTATGCATAAGAGACTGCCAAATGGAAACGTTTGATACGGCTGAACACTACAATTAATCAGCAGCTCAAGAGACCCTAGATCCGTCATTTTTTTTTAAAACACCATCAAATATCTATTTGAATTTACATACAAATATGCTATTAACATTCACATATTGCTATCTTGTCTTTTCTGAATCTTTCTTCTTTCATCTGTCCCTTGTCTTAACATTTATCTGATGTCACGTTTGTCATCGGTATCTCTTATATCGTCTCAATTTCTCACATCTCACGACCTCTCTCTGCCTCTGTTGTATCCTCACACATTTATATATTGAAAGGTAACGGCCACAAAATGTATTTCTCTTTGTCTATACATTATCTTGTCATCTCACGAAGCAGTTTATAAATAGAACACCAATACGCGTATGTATCTCGCCTCTAGATTTCACGATACGCTACACAAGATTTGAAGCTTTGGTGACCGCAGGAATCCCTACTCCCTGGTTTCTTTCGGTAAAGTCACGTAGGTAGAAAATAAAATAACAAAAATCCGTACTCCCTGGTTTCTTTCGGTAAAGTCACGTAGGTAGAAAATAAAATAACAAAAATAAATCACGACGTTTCGATCGCAACACAAGCGATCATCATCAGCATCATCAGGTGGGAAAACCACGGCAAGAAACATTTTATTGCTCAAGTGGGAGAGAGATGCCTTGGGTTGTTTACCGAATTCCGTCTCCGCAACGTCACGGCGTTCGTTTCCGCCGAAAAGCCAAAGTACATTGCCCAGGTCAGCATATATTATACAAATTAACATAATACATTCGCTGCAAACGCCCAGATTACGCTAATTATCATAAAACGCATACGCGTTATGTTAATTACCACAATAGGCTCGCCGCACGCGCATATATTATGCGTAAAACCGTCCGAATATATTATGTCAATTAGTGACGACACCGAAACGGGGAGGGTTTCCCATTGGTCAGAAGCCGCTTCCGGTCCCGCGGGTATAAAAGAACGAGAACGGCACGGGGCGTCTCCGCATTCGCTGAGAAGGGTGAAGAGAAGAACGTCCCTCCTCGTCCTGTCCGCGCGCGCCGTCTTCCAACCTCCGCGACAGCCATCTCCCGACCCAGCAGCCGTCTCGCGATCAACGTTCTACGCTCTCCGTTTCCCGAAAAAGAAAACGTACATCTGTCGTATGTCCGCTTTCCAGAACCTCCAGTCTTTTGGTGAGTCGACGGTAAAACGCGCGCACGTACGCGCCACACACGTCAAGCGGGGCGCGGCTGTTCGCGGGTTATTCTTGTAAAGGTGGCGGCTATTAAATTTAGTTTTAAAATACATGTCTTACTTGAGGAAAAAAAACCCGTAATTTGACGACGAGCGATGGGGGGGGTCGTAAAAATGTGGAAAGATGGGGGGAAAAAAAGGGGGCAAATCCTCCGTTCTTTTGTTCGCCGGGCCTCCTGGCTCTCGGGTCGCTCACAAAATGGCCTCTTCTAAAATGTCGTCCTCCCTTCCTGCCCGACTCGCCCCGCTGCTGCTGCTGGCCACCACCGCCGCTAGGGGGCCGCTAGGGGGCGCCTACCGGCCCTGGCCGTGCTCGGGCTCTTGTCGGGTTGTGTAATGGGTGACCAGGGGGTGGGGGGAGGCGAAGCTGCCCCCCCCCCCCCTGGGGACTGCTGCGTTTTCTGCGAAATACGATAATAAAAATAGCCGTGGCGTTTTTAGTACGGCGTGACTCGGTGCCCTGTTGGTCTTTTGTCGTCGTCGTGTTTTGTATTTAATGGGTGCTCGCAAGCGATTTGCACCTTTTTTTTTAAACTGGGCAAGGGGGGGTGTGGTCATTTTCTTTGTCTACTGTTGACGCTTTTGTTGTAAAAACAAAGCGGTGTTATATTCGTTACCTCGTGTAGCTTTTTCGGTGGTTGTCTAATGCCAATCGACGGGGAAGGACATGGCAACGGGTAATTAAAATTTGATCATTAATATTTTCCCGCTGGGCAGAATGATTATGGGATGGTTGGTGACACGGTGGTTCGACGGTCTCTAAAACGGCACCATAGCCGTTGTAAGATAATCTGGTTACCACGCCACCAGCGAGCTGGAAGGATCCATAAGACAAACGTCAAATGTCAAATCCTTGTTGCTATGGCGCGAACATGTGGTGGGCTATAAATATCCTTTGGAAAAAAATGGGGGATAGAGCTGGGGGAGAGGAGGAAGGGGGGTTGTTTGTGAAGATCACGCCATGCCACCCACCTCTTGGAACGGGGCCAGGATGACGAATGTTCTGAGACACACGGGGGGGTAGGGGGCCCTGTCCGTGCGTGACCTCGCGTGTCCATGGTGTACGTGATTTTTTTTGTTTCTCTGGCCAGACCCGTTTGCTGATGCAATCAAGGGTGAGTCGAGCCTCCCGGGGGGGACGGATGATTCAATTCATATAAGGATCCAGCAGAGGAACGGGCGGAAGACCCTGACCACCGTGCAAGGCATTGGCGACCAGTACGACAAGAAGAAACTGGTCAAGGCCTTCAAGAAGGCAAGTGATGGACACCGCCAACGAAACGATCGGTCTTTTAGATATTTTTTTTCGCCTCGATGTATCTTCTCGTTTGCAAGCGGTTGTCCCATTGGAATCTTGGTTTAATTTTAGCTACCCAAATCTCAAACGGTCATGACTGGAATGGGATTGTATTTTAATCAAAACGTAATGTCTACAAAATTTATGAATCGTTTGCTACTATCACGTTTTCAGATTTTAACAGGGTAGCATTTATGGAAGCAATTAGAAGCCTTAAACATTTAAATTTGAATTGCCGCAGTTATATAGGGTTCCATAGCACTGCTGGACGATTTCCAGACCTAATAAAAAAATGGGTACAGCATTTCGACAGTTTCTACGTTAGAATATTGAAGATTAGTTTGCCGTGATTTTATAGATCTTATGTATTTTAATAATGTCCCCTAAATGATTATTGTGCGGTGTGCAGAAATTTGCCTGTAATGGTACAGTGATTGAGCACCCGGAGTACGGGGAGGTGATCCAGCTGCAGGGAGACCAGCGGAAGAACATCTGTCAATTCCTCGCAGAGGTATGAATGAACCAAGGCTGGAGTAGATGGGGAAATATCAATGCTGAATATATTATTTTGATGTTTTATTTATATTAATAGTTTGCCTTAATGGTATAACAATTTTTGTCGTTTTAATAACGTGACGTCTGGTTGTTTTTCAGATTGGAATTGCAAAGGAAGATCAGATCAAGGTGCATGGATTCTAAACATACCAAATGATTGTTGCTACCAGTGTGCGTTTGTGTTATTTTAAATTGGGCCCCCATAACAATGGCTCGTAACCTAGTGTGGGCAGCGAGGTTATCTAGTGGAAATGATTGGAATACAAATGAGTGTCAAATTTACTACCGGAGGGAGATTTCTGTACGGTGGAAAGTGTAACCAACAGCGAAAATTGAAACGTGTTTCCAATGGAAATGACCCACTAGGTTGTTATACATAAGCTGCTTTTTCTATTGTCTTGTCTTAATTTTTGAGTATGGCGTTTCGCACATTCAAATAAACGAGTCCAAAATGGAGTTTTGAATGCATCGTTTTTTATGCAAGTTTACTTAAATGCTCAACTGATTACATCTAGATGGAGATGGTTTCCAAAGTACGTCCTTGGGCAAAGGCTTATGACGTCAAGCGGCAGTAAATAACAGCATGTCCGCTAAGCTTCCAACAGTGGAAGGCAAGAATTGTTTACAAGTGCTAATCCACATGCACTCTTTCCATTACACAGATAAACGTCAAATGACTTGGTCGTAATTTTTTTGTTTAAAAAAAGATTTTATCTTGATTGGCTTTTTAATACAACTCGTTTTTGTCCGTCCAAATTCCATTTGAAAAAAGATGATCACTTGTGGCCCCTTGCGTTGATATTTTTGTAAAGATTTTGAAATTTGTCATTCTAGCAGCATTACAAACAAACCAATACAGCCCTCGAACAAATAACATTTTAAGCCCAGTTACAGTTTTACGTGACGCGTTAATGTCCAGCTGTGAAGACTTTGCTCCCTTGATAAGACTTTCCAGAGCAGTGCACGTACTGTTCTGGATGTTGCCCTTGGTAATTAACACTACCGGAACTTGCGTCAAAAAGTAACTAAACTGGATTGCACTGGCGTTTGAACTTAAGGCCAACTGAAGTACAGAATGTTATGTACTGTGGCCATGCTATAATGATTAAACTCGTTCGATGAAGGCGTTGCCACACCCATTTTATAACACCAATGCCTTGACTAGAAATGTGTATCGCTACAAGGACCGCAACTAGCAGCCCTGAAGACTTGTGCAAGTCTGAATGGATGATTTCATGAAGAAATGGTCCAGTGATTGATGGACAACACTGGCGAGGTTGAACATTGTTTAGTCCGTAAATAGATTTTTGTCTGCACACTTATTTTCATTGCCAACTTCAGTGTTATAAGAATGTTTTGAGGTACCATCGCTATGCTGTCTTCGGATCCATATTCTCATTGGGGCTCTTAACTCCATCTTGTCCTCGCTAGTTTTATGGTGTCCTTTGACTTTCCGCTAGATGGCATCGCTGGTCGCCAAGGCATGCGTTATTCAGAATGTTTTCATAAGCGGAATTAGCGCCTCTAGTGGCTTCATACACCCAAAAGTGGAATTAAAACAATGGATCTTACCATTAGATGCATGATTCGATTTTAATGAATCTGGATTTTTACATGCTTAGCCAAAGTATTAATACCGTATTCCACCTTGCCCATACAATCTATAAACGGCTTGGTGAGCATTTGAAATGCCAATCTTACAAAACCGGTTTACAGCCTATTGGGCAAAATTACGACCATGGGGTTGACTACATAAAACACCATTTTGTTTGTAAACTTAAAGGCTTTGTTAATGTTACATTTGAAACGAGATTTTAATGTTGGCAGACTTTCACCCCATTATATTAATCTTGGTAATTTGTATTGCTACATTCCTTTCATATTGTGGTTATTCCTTTTAAAGAGATTATGGAATGAACTTTTACCGAGTGGCTTAGAAAAGTGTTGCCCCCCCCACTACACCATCACCTGAAAGCGTTTCAGAGGTAGGTAGCGTTGTGATGTCTGCATTGAGCCATTTCATACGATTAATTGCACTTCGAGATCTGGATATTTCGTCTCGTGAAATTACGATACCACAATCGGTATAGAATTGTGGAAAACTACAACAACTTAGATTTCATGGTCCATCGCCTGTTTTTTGTAATCAGCTATTTGGCGTATATTTAATTGGAAAGGAGCATTGAGAGGCCACCAGGTGACGCTGCTTCCATTTAGCACATCTGTAAAGTAGTGGCATGTCCGCTGGGACGTGCCAACATTTTAGACAAGTATCTTCTAAACAAAGTACAGTATTAGTAATGTAGATTGGGACACCCATGTTACTGTAAAATTCCCCAAATACATCTTGTTACTGTATAATGTGCATTCAGTGCCTTAAGTAATATCCTGTTGAGGGCCTCTCAAACTCCAGTCCTCGTATACCATCCATAACACCCGTCAAAGTGCCCCAAGTTGATAATTCCAAGATTAAGGTTTACACAGCCGTTATTCCATCTCTTACTCTATGGCTGTGAAACTCGGACCAGTTACTGGCGTCACACCAGAAGCTTGGAGAAGTTCCACCAAAGCAGTCTCAGAGCCGTCTTGAAGATCAAATGACAAGACCGTATCTCCCACAACGAAGTCGTACTTCATGTAGCAGCATTAGAGGTCATTATTGTGCACTCATAGCTCCCATGCACCAAGCGTTCTTTCTCTTGCGAGCTTCAGGACGGCAAGCGACCAGTGGACATTTCCTGCTGTTCTACAAGTTTAAAAAACGAGTAACATTTGAGGCAGTGCAATGTCGACATTAACATTCGAGAGATTCTTGCGAAGGAGCTACGTGCTGCGGTGCACTCAAGGTGTCCAGATATTGAAGGCCAGCCATGCCAAAGCATAAAAACAGCAGCAGTCCCGACCTCAGCGACGCCCGGATCTACACCTGCCAGGAACTGTGGTCGCACCTGTCTCTCTAGGATCGGCCTCATCAGCCACTGCAGGCACCATCGATAATTTACATAAATAATTATCAAGAAGAATTCTGGTGCATCAATAATGAGGCACGTGCAATGTCATTTATCAAATTATTTAAACTGCCAGATATGTAAAGGCAAACCTTGCTGTGTCATGTACAGGGTGGTCAAGATGTCTTCTGACCCCCCCCCCCCCCCCCCCCCCATAATTGACCCCAAACATTGTTTTCTTTTAAATATTAATTTGTTTTTAAATAAACCTTACTTTTAAAATATTACGTTTTTGAGAATGAAATAAGGGTCACAGGACATCTGGACCACCCTGTACATGCAGCAGAGCCTCTGCACACAGGCTGAATGAAAAAAATGCCAATGCCTCTGCAAACATGTAGAGTATGTAATTCTTTAGGATGACACTGCTCAGCATAGATGGGGTTTTTTAAAAGGATAATGAAGTCTACTTTCAACTGAAATTCGATAAGCCTTGATAACACACAAACATGTCAGCTTTTTTCATTTACTCGAAATGCAAATCACGTCAATAACGTATCGGTTATCGGTCCATCAGTTATATTTGTATAAATAACACCGAAATAAATTACCCGCAAGGAGAACATATTACATCTGTTCTTATGTACAGTACTGTAACAAAGGCATCAGTTTTATATTAAAATAATGCGAACAATAAGATTAAAACAATATAGTGCACTTATAGATTTTTTTTCAAGCACTAAATTACCAGAGATGCACTTGTCTCAGCATCAAACATAAGGCATACAAAAGCCTAAACGCATGAAGCCCAAGATGTAAGACATTTTTAAATATAATCGATGGATATTACTGTGGGAACAAAAATGCGATTGGCCTTGCATGCTCAACGACCATGCCTACTTGTTCAACAGATGGCTCTTTTTGAGCATTTTCTACCCCCAAAAAATAGACATCGTCCTACTTGTCAAATGCTGATGGTTTGGGCCGGATTATCAGAGGGGCTTTAAGGGCTGCATCCCAGGGCCTGGGATTTTGAAGGGCTCACAAAATCTATACTTCTTTACAATGTCTGAAATAATACTATCTCCATAACATAACCTGCCAGGTAAATAATTAATTCCACAGGATCAAAACGTGTATTCCTACCAGTTACAGTATGTTCTTAAATACAAAGGTATTTTTTTAATGCGGCACCACAATTCGCATATCAAATAAAAAAAAATACAAAAATAACCAAGGTAATAACAATTGAGTGTTTGACATGAAAAGCATGGCTGGTGATAAAAGAGTAAGGAGAATACATTGAATATATTCGAAGCTTCAACAGCTTCAGGCCTCCCTCAAAATACATCTGGCCCTGATAATGGTGATACTCATATTCTTGGTTCTTTCAGTAAAGTCACGTAGAAGGGTAAAGTCACGTAGAAGGGAAACATTTTACCGAAAGAACCAAGAATATGAATCCCTGCAGTCACGAAAGCTTTAAATCAAAATTTAATGGTGATACTCGTTGTGAACTAAAATCTGGTTAGAATTTCTGTTAAATCCCCATCTCACAATTGCATTCCAAGCCATAAGTTACACCCCAATCACATATAAGTTTCTCGGGATTTAGCTCTTGTGCAATTGAGAACCTTAGATGAGAGTTTGATGTGGAGGCTTTATACTGTGCAAAGCAAATACCTTTAAAGTAAAGTGCAACAATGTTTAAAGCAACGAATCCCATTTTCATTTCCTTCTCATTACCATCAAACAACCGATTGTAGACCTAAAACAAACTTTCTCAACACAAATGAACCGTTTCTCGGTGCTGCATTCATGTGCATTCAACTTTAGATTACATTCTGTATCATTTAGTATTTTACATTTTAATATACAAGCACACACACACTCCATGGCCTTTTTTGCTGTTGGCTTGAGTGATTTTTAACTATATTTCTTATTTTTTCATTAAATTCAGAATTTTTCTGGATTTTAAACAAAAAAGGGCGCATGGACATTATACTTTCAAAAAATACTGATAAACTGAAGAACAGAGTGAAAATGCACATATGGAGTAAGCTGAGTTCAGTTGCTAGACAATGGGCAGGGCCAGTTTCATATAGGGCATTGTGCCATTTTGAGTGCCAATTCAACTGGGATAGAACCATTCATATACAAATTATTTATTTTCCCAAAAAACTATCACAGATGGATACACAGCAATAGCAGTAAAGCTAAGAGCACAATCCCACACCAACGACTACAAAGTTACTGCATGACTCAAGCAGTGGCAAAATATTGCATAAAAATAACATCTACACATGTCCTATATTGTAATTAAAATACTGCTGGAAAAAGCCACAACATATTTCGGCTAAAATATTATAACTGAATGCAGATATAAGCTACTGTGTATTAATTAAATACATGGAAACAAGTGCCATGTAAAACAATCCTAATGGGCAAAGAGAACATTAACATCAGCACAGATAGAAGACAAAACAAAGATGGGCGATGTAGAAAAAAGCAAATAGCTGCTTGTTCCCCAAGCTGAAACTGGTGTTTGGGGAAACATTTGGGTTTAACTTTTGAACTGCATCACTCCAAAAGCAAATATTTGTTTCTGGACATGGTGACCAGCAAATAAACTTAAATACTTATCACTTTCTGCAAATTTCACATGCAGGTGGTGACTGCACAAAAGAGGATTACCCAACACGCTTACAAACCTGAACATGTCACCCTATAACCATGGTTGTAGAGAGAGGGGTAGGCTAGGGGGGGTTGAGGGTATGTGGGGAATTTGCCCTGGGCCTTAGAATTAAATTGTATTTGGCCTGAAAAACCATTCGGTGGCCATGCCTATATAATGCAGCACTGTGACCTTAACTGTCAATCAGCACCTTTGTTCTGAAAACAGAAAAACAAAAAACTGCAAAGCATTCATTAATCTCTCATTTGCTGCAAAACCCTCTCCATGGCACTCGGACAAAATGGAAGGCCCCTTCTCCACACAAGCAAATTGCATAGCTACACGGGAAGCTCTCCGCCTACATATGCACTGGTGTGAAGCTGTAAACTACGCCTATGGAATGTTGCATGTGGAATGCAAACTTGTGTACCGATGTACATGGTAGGATGACGAATTTTAAACGGTTTTAGCGCATACCGATTTCCAAAGCAAAAAAAAACGTCAAAAAAATACTCGTTTTTGTTATATATAAAGCCTTCAAATTATTAGTTTTGAAAATTGGCTTGCAGCAATGGCAAAACACATTGGCAGCCTGCCACTTAAAGTGGTAGGGTTGGCAAGTATGGTCACGTAGACTTTTAACGTGGTCAGAGAGCATAGGGAGCTCTTTAAATCCTCTTCATCCAACAAAAGTTTAATTCTTTCTTCAGATGCATTTTGGGGACGCTGTAGTTTATATACCTTTGAATCTGAAAGATATGTCCTCTTCCCACCCCGACCAAGTACTGTGTAGTTTGCGTTGTCATGTTCCTCAATATGACGGCTTTAAACCGATGGTGAAATAAATCAATTCAACTCCATGGCACGGGGAATTCCACCAGCAGACAATTTAAATATGGTTCTACATTTTTTTATGTTAAATTTGTCTGCTTCAATTTGTCATGGTCCTCTGCAAAAGTACTTTCATTCTCACAACCTTCATTTCCACAATTGACAGTCTACATTTGTTGTAATCGGCCAATCTCAGATAAAAGCAACCAAATGTATTCAACACGTTAACATATTTTACTATTATCTCCGGAGCCACTGCATGAGTTCAACATGAATCTATAATAGTTTAATGACTGCTAGTATTTAAACTGTGTATTTCTGGTCCATGGAAAATACTTGAATGTAACTACAATGAATAACGCAATTTTTACTGTCAGATCTTGGTTGTGTCTCCGATAGAGTTTACCAAAGCATACACAAGGTCCAGCAGCACATAGAGCAGTCTCTCTGTAGTAGTTGTGTGGAATGCGCCATGACCTTTATGCTACAGCAGAAATCTCAGGGGATGGGGGTCAGGTGAAGGAGGGTAGCGGGCACTGGCACTGGGGGTAAGAGCAGAGGAGTGACTATGGACCGGCCGTCAGTTGATTTCCCAGTGTCAGCAAGACCGAGGCTACAGGTAGTCGTCCTCACTCGTCTCGGACTCGTCCGTCATGACCACGGTCTCAGATATTGCATCGCCTTCGCCGTCACCCATGCTCTCTCCATCTATCAGTGCTTCGTGTCTCTGTTCAACAAACAAAGGCATCAATTGGCTCATGCACGAAACACATTTTACACATACATTAATTACATACATTTATCTCAGATTTTAAATCTTGTGACAAAACCCCGTAGTCTGGAACTTTATTATGCCTAGTTAGTCATGTTGACTCTCTGACCCTGTTCAATTTCAGGCTCAAGACCTTGTTTTCTCCTGTCTATGACTACCACACTCCCTCTATAAAACAAATATTCCTGCTGTTTCTGTACAGTATTTTGCGATAAGGCTGCATTTTGATGTTAAATATACATTTCACGTACTGTATTGTACATGTTTAGTGCCTACACACTCATATTCTTAACCTTGGCATAATCAAGTGTTTTTCATTCCTCAATGACGTTTATTGCTACACTTTTGTAAGCAAGATAGCAGTTTTATTTATAACCTCTTTCCTGAAGACGTAGCACGAAGCGAGAGCCACCATGGCAGCCTCCCCGAGGAAACCAGCGAGGAGGGAACCCACACCTAACGGGGCTCCGTGCACCCTGCAAAAGCACAGCACGCACGCCCTAATCATCAGCATCATCGTGAGCAGCATCAGCAGCAGCAATATAATTGCCATATGGTCATCGCGGATCAATGCACTCGAGTTGACAATGACCTCGTATCACTGCCACGATTGCCTCCATTTCTAGGCCAGATATGTAAAAGTATGTTGATGTGCATTTAATATTTTGCATCACTTTCACTGTTGTTCCCAACCCCTCCCACCAGTAACTGCATACAAGTTGTGAGCCAGTGTACATACGTCTATGAGCCAATACTCGCTTAAAAAGGTTTTATAAATAGGCGTGAAGATTGCACCCCTGTTCTATGACACCAGGAAGGGACCCATTGTGAATACCACACCCGAGGTAGGGCAGCAACAGGAGGCTTGTGATGAGGAGGATCATGCGTAGGATGGAGCTGGGCGCCAGCACCCGCGTCTGCTTCAGAGTCATGAGCCAGCCCGTGAGGTGCGCCCTCACCGTCACTGCCGCAAGAAGCACGCACCGCCACTTAGGGTGACGTCAACGACGACTTATGGATAAAAACACCAAGAGATAAATAGACAGAGAGCCAGATGAGCAACGGTGTAATTACCATGCTGCCTGGTGTTCATGTCACCGCGTCATGGATGTGCACGTGTTACCTTTGGGCCAATGGTATGTAGCGTGCCGTGTATATATTTTTAAAAATAAATTTGCCCATGCTCTCAGATTTCATGTGTTGACTGAAAAGCTCATGTTTCACCTATTCCCTTACTCCTCCCCCAGCGGGTACAAGCATGTCGAGAGCAACAATACAAGAAGATTGGTTACAGGTGGGTGAAATGGCCTTAGGGAAGTGTCACATAACTCATGGTAAATTTTTGATGGTAAACATGTTGTGATAATACAGCACGAATGGAACATTCAGTTCTGAAGTTTTTTTTATGTCGTGTAAATTTGTTACTGATGAGCATATCCATGGCCAAAATTACAATACCATCATGCATTGTAAAATGCAACTCCTATGCACACTATTGCATTAAGCTAGACATGCCAGTATTTGAATAAAATTGTTAAAAACCACAGCCAGGGATGATACAGGTTGAATACAAAGTTTACTAAAATTGAAACTTTCCGGTGGCACGTTTAATTTTTATGCACTCGGCACATCGCATCCATCACACCTCTCGCTATGACTGTGGCCACTAGCCACGTGCCACCTACTCCAGGTCACCATCAACCTTGGAAAACATTCCGTGATAATTTAAGAGCTCTGAATACGAATCTGTTGAAAGAGTTGTTAGACAACCACTTGCCAGAGACCTTGAGCTACTGGAAATATTACCTGGGAACGGAAAAAAGGAGAATATCCTGAGAGGAATGATGCAGCTGTTGGCGAAAGCGTCGTCTACCCCAATGAAGGTGACCAGGATCCCATCGGGGAGACCCGGGCTCCAGAAGAGCACCATGCACAGCTGTATACATTTCACAGCACACACATGGCAACAAGACCTCTACAATGACACGCACACACTACCGTCTATTCAATGTTTACCTTTCCATTTGTGCAAGTTTATCATTGTTGGGCAAATTCACGATTGATGATAGCATCCATGGACACAAATCAAATACTGGCTTGGTAAGCCAGTATTTTATATGCCTAACATCCTTTAAAAGCACAGTCAGGGTCGACACCAGTGCAGTGGGATTCATTTTCTGCATTAATGTGGGTGATTCATTGGTCACTGAATATTTTAGGGGTTGCCAGCAGACGATAGTAGACATCTGACTAGTAGCCACAACCATATATAGGACGTGGGTATACTGGACATGGTGCGTAAGGTGAGGAAATATTTTCAAGATCACAGACCCAGCCAGATCCGGTAGAAATTAAGCCCTGCTTAACTCCACATGTTTCTTGTCAGCGCAGGGGTTGGTGAACTGTGTTATGAACCCCAGTCATGCCTAACATCAGTCGCGAGTGACATCTGAACCAGCACTGGGTTAACCACTTCACCAACCAACACTGACCAGAAAGGTGAAGTATGGTCAAATAACCCTCATGACCGACATAGTGTGGGGAGGCCTTCATGGAGTGGTGGATTGACAAAGAACTGTAAATGACATGAAGTTACATCTTTATAGACTTAGAAATCTTACGTAATCAGATAATAACTAAATAAATAAATAACGAACAATCAACACAACATTTTAGTCCATAACCAAGCAGCATTTATTTAAGCAGGCAAACTCTCAATCAGTTTCAACTTTCAGATTCTCATCTGCAGTGTTTAGACCTGTTTAAACAACACTGCCTGGTTGCTAGATAAGATATAACTACTGTGTTCATATTGTTTATTTTGCAGATATTCTCCAAAATACATCTGCAAATTAGTTTCACAGATTTGTCACTTTTGATGATAGCCAAGTAAATCGAAATCCTTTACGTAACCAGGAGATTAAATACACCCATTGAGAGACCTGGGTCACATCAAGTAATTTTAAGTACAAAGAATATATTTAATCTAATGTTATCTACCTGCCCTAACTTAATAAACATGGCACAAACAAGTTTTAGATTTTTTCAACATTTACAAAGGGACAGACAGTCTTTAGAAATACAGACAGAGACGTTTGGCTCGTGGGTAGAAAATAATCCACAACTCGTGCGATGCATAGCCAATTTTCAGTAGAGAAACGAAAACCTCATTATAAACGCATTAAGGCGAGTTGTGCTCAACAAATGGAAATAGCTTCCAGCCATGCGGCGGGGTGTTCACGCACTCACCGTGAAAGAGATCGCTAGGCAGACAAGCGTGAAGTTTTTTATTTTGGCTGGGTTGACGTTACAACTTGTCAGCGTTGACTTGTTACTTGGGTTGCTCTGAAAACATACCAAACATACGTTCATATTCTGATCGCTGTATTAGATTTCACCTTTTTTTTGTGTTTTTAGAAATATATTTAACTGTTCCATTTAGCATTTTTCGTAAAAAAAAATCCACATATAAAATGGAACTGTAATCTGATCAGAAATGTAAATACCCAAATGAAAAGAGTCCCACACATGACCTACATTAAAACAAAAACTTAGGATGTCTATTAAAAATATACTCTGTCAATTGATATCACGAGTTTGCTTGCCAATACTTGCAAATACATACGTTATGAACTATATCAGCCAAGCCACCATCACATTATGTGTTTAAACCAAATTTGAGAGCTCCTAAATGTAGAGATCAAGTGACGTACAAATGTCAAGCAGATTGTATGTCCTAGAAATTGTTCCAAGTCAATAAATACAACTACTCATTGCCACATGTATGGCTCACATAGTCAGAGCACTGAGCTGCCATCTTCAAGACCCTACGTTGTCATTGCTGAGTTTGGGTATATCACCAATGATTGCACAAAAACTATCAAATTAACATTGGTCCTGTACTCTTTGGTATTTTCGGTTAAGTCACGTAGGTAAAATAAAAATAAAATAAATGAAAACAACTAAATTAAATCACGACGCTTCAGAGGCAACAGAAGCTTCCGTCTTCAGGTGGAACAGTCACAGCAGAATAGCTGTATCAAGTGGAGAGCTCTGAGACAACCGAGATTATATACAGGTTAAGGGGGGGGGGGCAGGAGCCAGAAAGGGACGTGGGTGGGGGGGAGGGGCTGAGTTAAGCCGCCTTTTGTTATGCTGCAGGGGGTTCGGGGGAAGCGGTGGCGCGCTGCACGAAAGCGAGTACTGTGACTGTTCCACCTGAAGACGGAAGCTTGTGTTGCCTCTGAAACGTCGTGATTTAATTTAGTTGTTTTCATTTATTTTATTTTTATTTTACCTACGTGACTTTACCGAAAAAACCAAAGAGTATGAATCCTTGCAGTCACGAAAGCTTCAAATCTAGAATTTGGTCCTGTACTTAGTTTGGTACAATTCCAGCTGTAAAAATATTGGTTTCATTACGATGCAATTAGCATTACACTCAATGGCAGGGCAGGTGGGAAAGTGGTGCCCCCTACTACATGGAACAGAGGTCACTTGAACTGACGTCAGATGCACCTCTTTGATATCCTTCGTCTCATGAATTAACACCAATAGAACAATTGGGATCAAACTTAGAAAAAAGTATTCAAAAATGACATAACAAAAGTGCAATAACATCTTGAGGAACACGATTGGGTGAGGGGTATACAGCTTGCTCATAGACTCATAGGCAATGTTTTATAAGCTTGTATAGAAACAACACAGGCTTCCAGTGTACCTTGTGGAAGGCGGGGTAGAGGGCACGCAGCTCAGTGAGCCAGCCATATGGCATGTGGCCCACGGGATATGTGGCAGTAAGCACCGCCACCGCCTGCCCCAGGGAAGGAAAAACAACAAGAGGTGGCAACGAGACGTTAGCAGCATCAGCACGGCTTTCGTCAGTTAATAACGTTCAGGAAATTATTTGTGAAATCTCTTGCTTTCTCAGTTGCAGAAAGGTCAATGCTGATGTGGAATGATAAGATATCATACCACTTTGCAGTGATTTTCACAGGAGAATGAAACATTTTATGAACGTTTGTATCTAGCAGTTTATCCGCATTTTGCAATTAAGAATTCAATGATATTACAAGTTTATAAAATAAGTTTACATCTAAATTGACCTCATTAGGCAATTGTATTGTGATCTACCAGTTTTTTTCATATAAAGTGTATATCATTCAAAGACAATACAATGTTTTACATATACAATACCTTAGCGTTATTGGAATGAATGTTACAATTAACAATCAGATTAACTAATGTCAAGTCGGGATTCAAGTTTATTTTTCCCATTGTGAAGTTTGTTGATTATCTCGCGACCATAGCATTTAAGTGAAGCAATTCACATTATATATACAAAAGCAAAAACAATCAACGTAACACACATGATTGAATGCACTTATCGTAAGAATATCGCCGATCTCAATCATGAATCGATACTTGCCGACTTATCAAGGAGAGTAAACTAGTACTATATTCTTCCAAAAAAGTTTTGCTGGCTGGCGCATAGGCGGGCAAATGTACAGTGTTGACGTCATTGTGCACATCTGCGTTATGACGTTAGCTGCGACCAGAGCCGTCCCTAGGGAACGGCGAATTGGGGTGACCGCCGGGCCTCGCACTTTTCGACGTTATGGTGAAAAATGTAATACTGTCGTTCCAGTTTAGTTTGAAGGCGTCGGAGGGCCCACACAGTGTGGTTTGCCCCGGGCCCTGCACCCCACTATGGATGGCCCTGCCTGCAACCCACAGTGCTGAGTTAGGTTCGTGCGTGTTGATGTCTCACCTCCTGCCCCACCCACCCTCCACCCCGGCCGTGTATCCCACCAAAATGTACGAGCAGTGCTAGTGTCATAAAACATATAAGAAAATTCACCGGGCAGCTGCATCAGTAATAAAACATTGTAATGTACATGTGTAAGGTTGTGTAGTACATTAGCTATTGCAGGTGCTAGGCTGCCAACCTCCGTGGCAGCATGCGTGCCCCCCAGGTCCCGCGAGACAAACAGGTTGACTATTGGCCGGCTGATGCGCTGAGTGGCCAGTATGAGCGCCAGTGGCCACCAGAAACTCAGCATCTTGCGCACGGTTGCCTCACCCTGCAGGCACAGTCATACACACGTGAGCAGCGTCAACTCAGAGACCACCCCAACAGTCAAGACAGGCAATCATCTATAGACAGGGACTATTTATCAATCGATTTCATTACTCAGTCTCGGCAAGCTTGTTCCTTGCCTTGGATGCCATTCTGTCACCATTCAAGTCCAGTGGCGATGTGTCCTGCCAAAGCCCACTTACTTTCCTTAAGTCAATAATACACTCGTAAATGGTCAAAAGGGAACTAGCTAAACACCTAAAGCGGAACCATCCTGAAAATAAGTCTTAACACTGACAGTTTATTGAGTAAAGATATTATTTATTAAATATATTTACAAACATTATAATATGAGGTCGAAGACATATTACAGTACTTGATTGTTTTTTATCATGCATTTTTGACATGTGCCCCTTTATATTTTGCACAGCTCCTGTGAGTAGAACTGTATTTTTAGTTCAGAGACAAAATCAGCATGTAGCATAGGGAACAATAGACATCTGTAATACCCAAACTCAGCAATGACAAGTGTAAAATATTGAAATAACAATGCTTGTAGATTTTTCGTTTACTTTCCCTAATTTAGTTAATGAAATAATTATTGCTTTTTTAATGTATACTTTTAGAAATGTACCATTGGCTTGCTCTAGAAAACTATCTTTAATAATAAGCATTCCATTGTTTCAGCCTTGCCGCTGTGGCTTGGCAGAATTCACTAATCTCCTATTTGACTTTCCTACCCACGGTTTAATCCCTGTCCTTGACTTAGTCCAAGCTCCATTTGTCTGTTGATTGCTGTCAACAACAAATATAGTTTGGAGCACTATATCCCATGATGAGGCCCTGAACAAATACTTCATAGACGTATTGGGACAAAATAATTATTGGTCGGACTCTTCCTTGACATTATTAATGAACCAATTCTAACTCTGTAAGTAATAAGATACTCGTCAGACAGAAAAGGTTACTGCAGGCTGAAAGTACGTACAATTATTTGTGCAAAATGTGATTTGTAGATAGAAAAATGTGTGATTGGGACCATAGGTCCTTCCAACACGACTTGCATGTCATATGACATCACCATAAATAATGCTTGTGTAATGCACACACCATTGTTTTAGACGAGCAAATCAAAAGGGCGAAATTTTGTCAAAATTATTTTAGACAGCAGCAGGACAAGGACAATTGAATCATTTGGCGGGACCCTGGGGTCCCGCAAAAATCAGGTCAATAATTATAATTTTTCAGTCCGCCCACTCGTGATCCCGACAGCAACGCGCCGCCCGCCCAGACTCGCGCCAACAAGCGCCAGCAAGCGGCGATCAACACGATGGGCGCCACCCCACCGGCCAAACGCAAGCCCAGGCGTCCGCCGCAGTCGATGGCGGCGACAACGCCCTCCGGTCAGCCGTCGATCCTCAGCTTCTTTGCCAAGGCGAGCCCGCGCCCGCAGATAATTTAACGTGTTTATGTAAATTTCGATTTAAAGCTTTCGTGACTGCAAGGATTCATCTTCTTTGGTTCTTTCGGTAAAGTCACGTAGAATGAGAATAAAATAATAAATTGATAAAATAAAATAACACAATAAAATTCTCGTCCCCTCACCTGATGAAGGCCGCTTGTGTTGTGGCCGAAACGTCGTGAGAATTTTATTGTGTTATTTTATTTTATCAATTTATTATTTTATTCTAATTCTACGTGACTTTACCGAAAGAACCAAAGAAGGTGTTTATGTAATTTTTCAACTTTTTACGAAACTTAGTGCCCCAAGTAGCTCTCGACGAGGCCAATCGATTGACACTAGTTTTGTTGTCGGTAAGGCAAGACTCGTGTCGCTACGCGGTTTTTCCCACCCCGGGGCAGTGATGGGACCCCTGGGTCCCGCCAATTGCTTAAATTGTCATTCTTACGAGCACAGAACCCATTGTTCTGCAACATAAAATGAGACAACTGTCATTTTCACTCTTCTCACAAACCTGTACTCAGAGCACTAAAATTAATCAGCTTTTAACATAATAAAATGCCAAGATAATATGTATTGTGATGCTTTGTTAATATTCTCCAGTATTGAAAGAAAAATCTGGCAAAACAATCATATTTATGGATGGGCATTTTTTTTATTAGAGCAATTTTAAATCAACCATGTCAGTCTTCTGCATTCGTTCCTCCCATCTCTTCGTTGTCGCTATTATATGGCTTCCGAACTTCTTCCACTGTTTCGTTGGCAATGGTCTGCAGCCACTAACAAGAGTCAATGTTGTGGAGGAGCCCAGTCAGCACCCAGCCAGGAAACTCAAGGCATAGATTATTTTTAATCGTGGAACGATATCACTGAACTTGCAACCTTTGGTAATGATGTAAAACTGCCTTCCCCAAGAAAATGAATGAATCACTCTTTTGACATTAGGTAATAAGAAGGACACGTATGCACACAAAAAAAAGACATTATGAATGCGTCCATAGCTGAACAGGTAAGCGATAGTTGGCACAACTCAAGTTTGCCTCAATGTGCGGAAGAATGGACAAGTCAGCAATTTTTATGCCACGTGCAGTGATACCGCCTTGCCTGCCGCCCCCCTATCACGCCCGGCACTGGCACACTCACCGTGTCCGCGCCGGCCCGCTGCGGGAGGAGGTGGTGCACCTTGGTGTAGTACGCCAGGCACAGCGTAGTGAACCTGACGAGTGAGCCCATGTAGAGTGCCAGCACTGGGATTAGCATAGGCTCGGCGCACTCGAGCCGACTCTGCAGGAACACAGCCACGAACACCACCTGGGAAGGATGAGGTCATGTGAACGGGAAACATCGCCCACAAAATCAATGCCCACGCATGTATTGTATGGGAGCAGGCTCTCGTGGTAGGATTTACTGCATCTCTTTAAGGAAATAAACTTTGAACGATTTAGTGCTTTGTTTATAAACATGGGTCAAGTGGGCAGGTGTAAAAATCAATTCCGCACATGCAAATTGCATACGTCTCTGTAGAGCAACGAGAATGTGCTGGGATGAAGTGATGGCATAGCTGAGTGGAGTGTGCTATGCAAGGGGTCTCGCCTGGGCACAGACGTCAGAGAGGGAAGCGCAGCCCACGATCAGGCTGTGTTTGTGCTTGAGCAGGATTCCTGCATGCGTCCATGCCTGAGCAGTACAAGCGAAGGGCAGCAGTCAAAACAACAGCATAGGAAGTTGGCCTGGTGGCTATGTCTCAATGCTAAGCTGGCACCGCTGAAATCCTGGGTCCTCAAGTGGAGTGAGTTTTATTGTTTCAGCCCAGTCACCAATGACTTGACAATAAAATCCATTATATTAAATTTGTTTTACACTTCTTTTGCCAAAATTCAAGCTCTCAGAATGAAAAGTATCAATTTGACTGTCGTGTAACGAACGTTACTCTTTCGTGGGACAGATGTGAAAATGCTGCCCCCGAGTGTGGATAAGAGGTCGCTTGAGTTTTTCATGATCAGTTCTGTGACATTTATTTTCCTGTACTGTTCTCTTACATGGGAATATGTTCTGCTCTATGAGTTCCAAAGCATTCTTTTCTGATGCAGAACAAATGGGATAACTTGGGTAAAAAAGGTATAATAAAATCAATGTCAGAGGAATGCAGAGTCTACTTATTTATTATTTAAATCTACTTTACACTGAAGTCCTATCATCATAAAACAGAGTCCTACTATTAGAATGACACATAGAACAAGGTCGTGTGACATTGGTATTGTTTACAAAAATTCCATGTGTAAATGTAAAGTGGTTGTCAAACATACACAATGGCTTCTCTACACGAAACACGCTTTCTGTAACTTTTCCTTTTGGCAGTCAACTCAAAATGCTGAACTATAAAAACTTAAATGCAGTCCATGTCCAATTGTTAAGCTTTATTAATTGGTTATTGTTTGATTGTAGAGCGTTATTAATTAGTCGATGACCATCTAACATTCAAATGTAGCAGGGGAACATTTCTGTGATATGGGACAGAGGATCACTATATATTGGAGCTGTCATGGGTGGGTGGGTGGCTGAATGCCTCTGCCGGATGAGATGTGCTTGCCAGGCTGGGAACGCTATTTAAAAACATAATGGAACTCCGGGAAATTCTGCGAAGTGAACGCCAATTGTAATGTCAAGCATTTATGCTTGAGAACATATATAATTTCTATTTAATGTCCAAATGCAAGACAGTGTGCGAGCTTGAGAGAGGTGCACGGAGAAAAAAAGAGGTGTATTTAAACAATACATCTTATTTTAAGTAGCAGACTGTAATATGAATCTGGGTACCGGAGTTATATTCCCAGCCATGGCTAAAGACGGTGGTGATTGGTACCTAACCTACTCCCGTAAACCGCCCTTTACCAACCCACATTGACCAGCGTGTTGCAGTATGGTCACAACTACCATGACCGACAAGGAATGGAAAGGCTCTCATCCAATAGTAAAATGACAAAGGGATATACGTTTACGTTTTATATTTTCAAAAGAGATTCAGGCATAAATATAGAATAGGTCTTCATTATCACAAAGCATAACTCCCAACGCATTGGCTGAAGGTTCTTCTAACTCTCACATTTTTTAAAATATTTTTTTTATTGGGACAATGTTACATCACGTTGTGATGCATGTACACACTTTCAACAAAGCCAAACCGGTTATGAAAAGGAAGAGAAGCCAGATGAGGAACGGGCTAGCTTTTTTTTAAGGGGGAAGGTATGACAAGAGGTAACTCTCTCATTTTAAATTAGAGGACCACCACTGCTCACCAGTGCATCGATGAGCGGGAAGGCGGCCAGGTACAGAAAAGCCTGTCTTGTTTTCGTGCCCACCACCCCATCCACATGGTGTAGGCGGTTGATGATGTAGTAGCCCATATCCGTATAGGCTGCAACAGGTGGAAATGTTAGATTCCTATAATTTATACTGGTTTCAGATAAATTACATTTATGCCGACTTGTTCAGAAAAATAACACCAAATCTAACATTTAGGCGTTATGAGAACAATGTTACAAGAGGAAAAAAAATCATTCAATAGAAATCATTCAAGTTTAAGAAATTACATCACATCAATTGCTTTCAAGTAGCCACTTAGGATCCAAATGATATTTAGTTCCCATTTAGTTATTATCTAATAATGCATGTAAACACCTCCTTAACATGTTGAGATTATAATTACCAACCCACACATTACTGACACTTTACCACAGACGACTTATTAATTTGATTGTTAAATTGTTATATTTTAGCAATTTAATATCATATTAGAACTACGTGTCAAACGTATTACTCAGGGAAAGACTAATTATTCACAACCACAAATGTTTATTCAACTCTAGCTTATCAGCTCATCATCCCTAGGAGCCCGACATTCCTAATCATTGCTGACCAATCACAACGTTACGATAGTCTGACACCTCTGCTGACCGATGAGCATGTGGAAGAGCGCGGCCACCACGCCCGCCGTGGCCATGCAGCCCAGTGCCTTGGCACGGTCCCGCCGGCTGTTCACAAACACCAGCCCCACGTTCTTGAAGTCGCTCATAGGCCCCGTGAAGAATTTCATGAGAGAGTAAGCAAGCCCATAGCTGGCCAGCATCTCCACCGAGCTGCGGTTTACTGCCGCGATGCCACGATTCAAAGCCTGCAAAACAGATTTTTTTTTTTGGCACGCGGTGTAGGGACGCAAGTATCGGGGGGTTGCAATCGAATACATATACAAATTTACTAAAATTTGTTTTAGTTGACAGCAGTTGTCTCACTCAGCTAAACATTTTGGAGGGAGAAAATAATTTTGAGAAAACAAATGTATATAAATAAAATTTAATTATATATGCAGAAATATACATACACAATTATTAGCTATTTAGAATTATACATTGAAAAAACACACAACAAACCAACGGAGTGCGTGTAGTTACTGCCTCTTTTACCTTCCCTCAGGTGCACTTCTCGTTTAGAGTACACGTTGAACAGGAAAACAGTATTCGTACACTTTAAAGACCGACGTTTATAAAAACAGCAATGCTGAAATTACTCGCTGAAGAAACATATGAAGTTGGTGTAATTACAATAAAGTGAACTTCCCCATGCATTGAAGTAGAGCAGAGTATTAAGAATATGCCTCACTGATGGTTCGAAACTTGCGTACAGCTTAATCTGTAATTACATAACGTCGCTAACATTGGAAGCTTTCATAAGCTAAGAGTTTTCCAAAACAATATTGATGTATTCCAATACAATGTGAAAATGTTTAATTAAGTATTGTACATTGTTGTTCTAAAACGTAATTTACATTCCCACGTTAGAATTAAGACTCATGGTATGCAACATTTCATCAAGTTAGGTGTCGGTGAGCCTGAATGAGATAATGGCATAAAGATTACATTTGACAATCACTTAGCCAAAGCCTGGCATGTGCGCGTAGCTAAATAAATTAGGATGTAAACTTCCAACTCTGCATTATGCTGCACTCAAATTATCTTAATATAGCAGCACTGTTCATGGGTGTTAATATTTAAATTTTCATATGTCATCCATAATGAATGGCTGGTGTAATGTTTTAACGTAATATAAAGTGGCATTGTAGGCTTACGCTTACAGTGAGGGAAAAAAAGTATTTGATCACCTGCTGATGTTGTACGTTTGCCCACTGACAAAGAAATGATCAGTCTATAATTTTAATGGTAGGTTTATTTGAACAGTGAGAGACAGAATAACATCAACAAAATCCAGAAAAACGCATGTCAAAAATCTTATAAATTGATTTGCATTTTTATGAGGGAAATAAGTATTTGACCCCCTCTCAATCACACAGATTTCTGGCTCCCAGGTGTCTTTTATACAGGTAACGAGCCGACATTAGGAGCACACCCTTAAAGGGAGTGCTCCTAATCTCAGCTTGTTACCTGTATAAAAGACACCTGTCCACAGAAGCAATCAATCAATCAGATTCCAAACTCTCCACCATGGCCAAGAAAAAAGAGCTCTCCAAAGATGTCAGGGACAAGATTGTAGACCTACACAAGGCTGGAATGGGCTACAAGACCATTGCCAAGCAGCTTGGTGAGAAGGTGACAACAGTTGGTGCGATTATTCGCAAATGGAAGAAACACAAAAGAACTGTCATTCTCCCTCGGCATGGGGCTCCATGCAAGATCTCACCTCGTGGAGTTGCAATGATCATGAGAACGGTGAGGAATCAGCTCAGAACTACACAGGAGGATCTTGTCAATGATCTCAAGGCAGCTGGGACCATAGTCACCAAGAAAACAATTGGTAACACGCCGTGAAGGACTGAAATCCTGCAGTGCCCGCAAGGTCTCCCTGCTCAAGAAAGCACATATACATGCCCGTCTGAAGTTTGCCAATGAACATCTGAATGAATCAGAGGACAACTGGGTGAAAGTGTTGTGGTCAGATGAGACCAAAATGGAGCTCTTTGGCATCAACTCAACTCGCCGTGTTTGGAGGAGGAATGCTGCCTATGACCCCAAGAACACCATCCCCACCGTCAAACATGGAGGTGGAAACATTATGCTTTGAGGGTGTTTTTCTGCTAAGGGGATCGGATAACTTCACCGCATCAAAGGGACGATGGATGGGGCCATGTACCATCAAATCTTGGGTGAGAACCTCCTTCCCTCAGCCAGGGCATTGAAAATAGGTCGTGGATGGGTATTCCAGCATGACAATGACCCAAAACACACGGCCAAGGCAACAAAGGAGTGGCTCAAGAAGAAGCACATTAAGGTCCTGGAGTGGCCTAGCCAGTCTCCAGACCTTAATCCCATAGAAAATCTGTGGGGGGAGCTGAAGGTTCGAGTTGCCAAACGTCAGCCTCGAAACCTTAATGACTTGGAGAAGATCTGCAAAGAGGAGTGGGACAAAATCCCTCCTGAGATGTGTGCAAACCTGGTGGCCAACTACAAGAAACGCCTGACCTCTGTGATTGCCAACAAGGGTTTTTCCACCAAGTACTAAGTCATGTTTTGCAGAGGGGTCAAATACTTAATTCCCTCATTAAAATGCAAATCAATTTATAACATTCTTGACATGCGTTTTTCTGGATATTTTTGTTGTTATTCTGTCTCTCACTGTTCAAATAAACCTACCATTAAAATTTTAGACTGATCATTTCTTTGTCAGTGGGCAAATGTACAAAATCAGCAGGGGGTCAAATACTTTTTTTCCCTCACTGTGTCACAGAAGTAATGTCCAAGGTCAGGCATTCAAACTTGCATACAGTGACACTGCCTTCAAATGCCCCCGCTCCTTCCAATGAACGTTATTATCCTGCATTGAAATCCAAGCTTCTACTGATGTTTAAGTGTAGCGAGTTGATAGTGTCCACCTGGTCACAAGTGACTACGCACAAAAAAACAAATGTTAAATGAAATGTTTTACTTTATTTGGCTTATTCCAGTTCTGAAACGTAAACATTTTGGTTCATTGACATGTGATGAACACTCTTTGAAGGGCATTGAAAGGTTTCACTTAGGAAGTATAAAGAGTGATATTTAAGTGACCTCTGAAGTAGTTCTGTGATCTGATATCTTGAGGCAGTTCTTTGACAAAGGGAAATGCACTGCGAGTTTCAAAGTTTTGAATGTCTATTGCTTTGCCGCATGACATAACCAATCTTGACTTGAAGCTTTCGTGACTGCCGGAATCCATACTTTTTGAGTTATTTCGGGAGAGTCACGTAGGTAGAAAAAATAATAGATCACGACGTTTCGATCGCAACACAAGCAACCTTCATCAGGAGGACAGCAGTCCTCCTGATGCAGTCCTCCTGCTGTGTTTGTTTCACACCTGATGACGGTTGCTTATGTTGCGATCGAAACGTCGTGATCTATTATTTATTCTACCTACGTGACTTTACTGAAAGAACCAAAGAGTATGATATAACCAATAAGACAACTGGAAGATAACTGGGAATTTTTGTTATCGAAAAAATACAAAAATGCCAGCTTTAATTTAGCAAAAAAATATTTTATAGTAAGCCAGTGTGGAAACGTTTTCAGATGTTGAATCACTCCCATTGTGTACTATTCTGAAATGTCTTTCTGCTGACAATGTCACCCAATGCCACATACCACTAGTTCTATTGCGGGAAAACAGCGAAAGTGACGTGATATAAATGTCACTTCCGATTTATGGATTAATTCAAAATACAATGCTTGAGATAGTTAAAAAATGTGTATCTTGATTTTTTTTATTGGATCAATATGCACTCGTAAAAAAACCACAGAGAAAAGTCAGTCTCTCCATATTAAAATTAAATGTTTTAGTCCACAGCCTTTGTGCCTTCAGGAATAATGTAATCCAACATAATTTAAGCAGCAAATTGCTCAAAGTGCCTGCAGGCTTACACAAATTTAGAGAAATTAAGTTTGTGTTGTTGATCTAATTAACTGTATTTGTTTCAATGTATTTACTTAGGTCTAAATGATAAACTCGACAAGTAAGCTTCTAAAGAACCACTTGCAAATGCTTCCCAAGATGTATATTCAAGCAGTGAATACAGTCAACTGTATTGTAAAGTACATGTCTGTCTTTCATATACTGTATATGAAGGCCTTATATAACCTAGGTTTAATAAAAAAGGGATGTTTAGCCACTTAATGACTTACTGCTAAGCAACGAAGCTCTGGGGATAAGCCATTTAACCTTAAGACCCAGAAGAGGGTATCTAAAATGGATCAGTACTATTACAATATGTTCCATGTGTTGAAGGGCAGCAGTGTGGTAACTTGCATAATCCTATTAATTAAAAAAAATTGTAAATAATATTTGCAAAAGCTTCTTAGAATTAGGGGTGGCAATTTATAACTGCATGCTGCCTATATTATCCATTTATTATTAAAACGAGATTAAAGTGGATAACGTCAGGGCACTTTGAGTTACAAATGTTCCACAAAATAACCTACTCTACATAGTGTTTTGGACTGGTCTTAGTGGTAAGGTAAGGGTTGGTAACTTGTCATGCATTTTATGTGTTATATGTTGCAAGAATGCCATGCAAGCAAAAAGTAGTCAGCAGACATACCAGACACCAACAGAACAAATTTACAGAGCAGATCCATCCACAAAGGTCACCATCCTTTGAATTTTAAGAACAGGATGTCTGTTAAGAATTAATGGCCGCATCTGTTTGGTCTCTGTAATCGTGCTGTGATTAAGGGACATGGACATTTAGTCACAAGTAATGTGGGCGTCAGTGCTTCATGTTGGTTCACCACCATCTGCTGCTACCCAAAGGTAATAAAAAATATATTAAGCGTATATGGCTGCTTCACATATCTGTCCCTCCACGTAAACAAATATATATTTTTTTACACATCTCATCAGCCACGTGGCCTTTCTGGAGTGCATAATTTCAGCAGCATTGGTTCAACACAAGCAAACTCTGGGCCAGTTTTGACATTCAATGTCTAAATAGCAAACCAATGCTGGTGACATGCCAGATATTTATGGCTGATGGAATGTGTAAAAAGTACTTTTAGTTTTAATGTTGGACAGATATGCGAATGAGACATATTGTCTGCTTATTCATTTTGTTACTTATATTCTCCAAAACGCTTATGAATATTGTGTTATGTACCCAAAATGTGTAAAATTTTGGGGGGAATGTGGACAGTTAGCTGACCATAATGGGGCAATTATTTTGCACTTCAGCATCTTGGACACCCAGTACCCTATGCTGGAAATAATATAAAATGTGGTTTAAATGTTATTACCCAGACCCCACAAATGGAATCAATATGGGGGTGCGGGTTGCTATTGGCGAATCCCTCTATCCACCCCTATCTGTGACAATGTAATGTGGGGTAAAGTGTGGGTACTGCTACCTCTTCCAAGATGTCTTGCCACTGTAGAAGAGTAGGCCAAATAGCCACTTGAGCAGCGTTCTGTAAAATCTCAATGGTTTCAAATGTATGGCAGCCCTGACACTGTCTTATTGGCGAAAAAAATTGTGAAAAACACTGCTCCAGTCTCGTCGATATCTGTGGAGCTTCGCTGCGTGGAGGCATTTTGGCCATCAGTGGAATGAACACGTAATTGCAGAGCCTGCACCTCTACCGTTACCTTTTACCAATCTTTGAAAATATTTTTTGTTGATCCACACTTATCTGGCAAACAAACACAAATGTAATTAATTTTGCGCTTCCGGGACACCACAACTGGCTGACTCAACCTTGGGTAATCAAGAAAAGGACACATTTTACACCACGTATCCACCAAAAATATAAATAGGACGAGCACATCAGCGACTAATATCATTTTTTGCGGATATATTTGTGCCACGGATAATATAATTAACGAGCTATGAGACGGCGGATGAGGGGATCTCCTTGGGTACACAGTGATACCGATTTGACCATTATTGTACTCATAAGTTTGTCTTCCATGAGTGAGGCAACATTTTTGTGGTGCATTCCAGGCGGAGTGGGAGTCTGCGAATGTGCTTTCGTGCAGCTGAAACCCCCCTAACTTAAACTGTTTCCATGATGGCCTAGCAGTCGTGTAAATGTGTGATCGCAGCGTTCAAAGGCTTTGAAAGCCACTCTTATAACAACAACAACAACACCGTGCGTGTCCCGGCCTCTGCGCGTCGATGCCTATAACATTGTGCAAAGCATCTCTGCGGAAAAAAAAAACCCAGATAATGACTCACAAAGACACGGTTGCCCCCCCCCCCCCTAAGGGGTCAACAACCATGCCCATCACATCTCCCGGTCCACACATTGGCTTGACCAAGCGTGCTGCGTTGTTCGTCCTGTGTACACACCGGTGCTCGCTGTGCTTGTGCCAATGCAACAGCGGCGTTTCCTTTTCTGTTCTGCCGGCTCGTGACATTGGCAGCCACAAAAGAGGAATTTTGCCCCAGCCCCTGCTTTTTAAGGTTCCGTTACGTTAAAGCATTTGTTACGATTTGCTTAGCGTTGCGTGTGCCGACACTGTATCTGTGTGGCTGTGTAAGTCTACGTCGGGCTCCAGTGTGAATAATACACAATGCAGCGCTTTATATATATAAAAAAGTACATTTAAATGAAATATTTGAAGGCCTACGCTATGTTGCATGCGGTGCCGTACAGTACTTCACTGTACTGTATGCAGTCTATACTATACAGTGCCCTTTGCCGCAGACGTACAGTACTATGTGGACTATATATACACAGCTGTTTCACTATAAACATGGTTTGTGCATTGAGAAGCCCGAACGTCTTAATGTATGAACATCGTATCCCTGATGTGGGTAGCCTCAGGGAGGCTCCTGACAGCAAATAGCCCATCAGGCTTTACCAACACAGTACAGTACGATAATATAACTCAAATATTATACACAGTTGTATAGTGTTACACACAACACCCACCATACATAGCCCTGTACATAAACACAGGGCAAAAGGTACATGTCAAGATCGTTATATATGAAAATGATTGATGATGGCTCATCATGAACAGAATTGCAATCTAAAACGTTTCCACTATAACAGGCAAGGTCATCCTGGGCAAGATCAGTATATCAAAGAATATCAGGATATCAAAGAATAGTCATAACCAAGATATTAAAAAAATCACAAAAAAACCCGTAAATATCAACGCGCACTTATCAGCATCACCACCACCACCACAAAAAAACACCATAATAAACACATGTCGACATCACCACCACCATCACCACAAAAACCACCATAATAAACACATGTCGACATCACCACCACCATCACCACCACCACAAAAATCACCATAATAAACACATGTCGACATCACCATCACCACCATCACCACCACCACAAAAACCACCATAATAAACACATGTCGACATCACCACCACCATCACCACAAAAACCACCATAATAAACACATGTCGACATCACCACCACCACCAAACATCACCATCGTCACCACCACCCATCATCCTCCACCATTTGTCCAAAGCGCACTTCGCCCACGACGCGCCGGGCCCGGCGTGCATTCTTCAACAGTGTAGCACACAACACAACAATACGATGCAGCATAATACACCGGCATCCTGGCTGCGCGTGTACTCCACAGCTAAGGGAGGTTATCATCACACATACATACATAAAAACCCACACATGTCATATAGCAGTTACCTGCTCTCCAAGGTCCGTGGCCACATTGGTGACGGCCAGGGGCACGAGGAACCTCAGCAGGGGCCAGTAGTCGCCGAGCAGGGAGCCCGGCACGGCGCACATCCCAAGCCCCCTGCGCCACTGAGCTCACGGGCTGCGACAAAAATAAAAACACAACAACCACGCCAGAAAGCGCAGCCCTCCTCGCTTTCTCGATCTCCCTCTCTCTCTCTGTCTCACTCCTTCTCATACGGAACCTCCTTCCCCCTTGTCTGGTTCCTCGTGTCTCTATATCTGTCCTCTCACACACACAGACGCTCTCGCTTCTGTCGTCTGCGTCGTGTGTGTGTGACCACCACCACCGCCACCACCCCCGCCCGTGTGTGTGTGTGACCACCACCACTCCCGCCCGTGTGTGTGTGACCACCACCACCACCACCGCCCGTGTGTGTGTGACCACCACCCCCACCCGCCCCTCGCGTCTCTGTGGCTCCCCACCCCGCAGCCGTCGACGGTCGCAGACGTTGGGCAAATAAATGACAGGGCCGGTCATCGGCATGAAGCCCTCCCTTCTCAATCTCTCTCTCTCTCAAACCCGTGTGTGTCTCTCTCTCTGTGTCTATCTCTGACCTCTCTCTCTAGCCCGTCCTCCACCTTGTTGTGTCGTAGCCGTCGGCCTCCAGCCCACCACCCTGTCGCGTGTGTCTTGTGTACCCGGTCACCAGCTGTTTTTAGCAGGGATGGATGGGTGGCACTTGCGCAACGTTGCTGCTGCTGCGTTAATCCTCGGGGGCTTCCATGGCACAGCAGCGGGCTGGGCTCTCTGGGCTGCGAGTGTGATGTGCGTTTGAGTGTGTGGGGTAGTGTGACTGGATTGTGTGTGTGTGTTGGACACTGTGGCTTGATTTTGTGTGTGTGTGGATCAGTGTGGCTTGGTTTTGTGTGCACAGTGCAGTGTGGCTTAACTTTGTGTGTAGCAGTGTGGCTGGATTGTGTGTGTGGAGCAATCTGGCTGGATTGTGTGTGTGGAGCAGTGTGTGTAGCTGGGTTGTATGTGTGGAACAGTGTGGCTGTATTTTGTGTGTGTAGCAGTGTAACTGGATTGTGTGTGTGGAGCAGTGTGTGTGGCTGGATTGTGTGTGTGGGGCAGTGTGACTGGATTGTATGTGTGGAGCAGTGTGTGTGGCTGTATTGTGTGTGTGGAGCAATCTGGCTGGATTGTGTGTGTGGAGCAGTGTGTGTGGCTGGATTGTCCGGCAAAACAACCCCCTACCTCCTCGCGGTGCTGGACGGGCAACTCTGTCGTGGACAGTGTTGTGGGGAGAGGGCCAATTCTGATTGGCCCCTCCCCTCATAGCGTCTGTGACCACCACAGTGGCTATACGGGGGCTCTGGACGGGTGCGAGGGGCTGGTAGCCGCTCCACCTTCAAAAAAATACCACGAAAGCACGACTTAAATACATAACTAATAAGCTTGTGCCGGAGGCCCTGGGGGGACAGGCGTCTATAACGTCTCTTGGCCAAACCCCAATTGGCGGAGCCAGGAAATTGACTTTCTACCCTCGGGGCTCCTCCAGAAACAACAAAAAGCCACTTCGTGTGGCCACGTGGAATGTTGGAATGCTCACTGCGGAGGAGAGGCTGCCACTCCTCTGTCGGGAGCTGGACCGGTACCGCCTGGATCTCTGTGGCATTCAGGAGGTCCGGTGGACCGGTTCTGGCTCCTGCCACCATGAGGGGTGGACAGTCCTCTACTCGGGGCAGCAGACTGCCAAACAACAGGGTGTGGCTCTTCTTTTGAACAAAAGAATGAAGGGTGCGTGGGAGCAAAAGAATGAAGGGTGCGTGGGAGCGTGGCGGTGAGGTGTGGGAAGCTGTAAGCCCCAGGCTACTTTGGGCTCGCCTTCCCATCAACCGGAGGCGAGGAGTGGTGGTCGTGGTTACTTATGCCCCCACCGGAGACGAACATCCGTGAAGGGATGCAGGCAAAGCCAATGAGTCAGATGCCTTCTATGACCTCCTGTCACAGGTGTTGGCTAAAGTGGCCCCTCTGGATAGAGTCATCTTGTTGGGTGACTTCAATGCCCGAGTTGGTCATGATGCTGGCACCTGGTCTGGAGTGATTGGAGGGCATGGGCCAGATCAGCTCAATAACAATGGTAGGAGGCTGTTAGATTTTTGTGCAGCCCATGGGCTTGAAATTACCAACACGCTGTTCCGGCATCAGCGCATCCACACAACATCATGGATACTTGCCGGGTCCAAGCAAGAACATCTGCTGGACTACATAGTGATGGACCAGCAGATGCGAGCCCATGTCCTTGACACCAGGATCTACCGTGGAGCTGATCTGCCCTCTGACCATCGACTAGTCATCTGTAAGATGCGCCTGCCATTCTTCCACTCCGGTGGTGGGTGTACACCCAGGACCCCATTCCAACATAAAGTGGCCTGGTCTCAGTTAGCTGATGAAAGTTGCAAGCGAGAATTTCATCATCGCTTGCGGCTGGGGTTGGCATCGTCCCCCACTCCTCCTAATGTCGAGGGTAAATGACCGAGGTTTAGGACTGTGACTCATGCAGCTGCAATGACTGCATTGGTTACGCGGTCCAGACCTCCCCAGAGACCCTGGCTGACAAAGGAGGTGTTCAGGATAGTTGAAAAAAAGCGACAGGCCCACTGTCATTGGCTACAGAATCCCACGTCAGAGAATGAGAAGGCTTACCGCAGCCTTCGCTCGGAGGTTCGGAGAGCCGTGAGGTGCTGCAAGGATGGGTGGTGGTCGCGGGTTGCTGAGGAGATGGAGTCTGCCTCAGTGGCCTGTGATCACAAATCTCTATTTAACTCCATCAAAAAAGTAACCTGCAGCGCCACACCTATTACCATCATTAGGGGAAAAAACGGTGTTCCAATCTTCGACCCCCAGGAACAGATTTGCAGATTTGCTGAGCATTTCTGTGAGGTCCTGGGGGAGGGGAAACCCCTCAGTCAGGAAAACATCGTGGCACAAAGTGGGAATTATCCTGCTGAGACTGTGGTGCCTCAAATATTGGAAGAAGTCACCCCCTGTGAGTGACTGGCTGAGGTGCCATCTGTTGAGGAAGTACTGAAGGCGATCCGGAGTCTGAGACCAGGAAAGGCACCGGGCAGAGATGATCTCCCAAGTGAAATGCTGAGGGAGGGTGGCTTTTATGCACAGACTGCCCTATATGACATCATAACAACAGTCTGGACCACTGGACGGGTTCCGCAGGATTGGAAGGATGCCCTGGCGGTCCCCCTGAAGGGGGACCGCACAGACTGTAACAACTACAGGGGCATCTCACTCCTCAGTGTGCCGGGAAAGGTTCTGGCAAGGATTATTCAACATCGCCTTGCCAGACACGCTGAGGAGAGGCTTGCGGAGCCCCAATGCGGTTTCAGGAAAGGGCGGTCCTGCACAGATGCCACATTTTCTGTCCGTCTGCTACAGCAGAGGTGTAGGGAATTACAACACGACCTACATCTCTGCTTTATTGACCTGGTCAAGGCCTATGATACCATCAGTAGGCCAGGGCTCTGGGTTGTTCTTCGTGTTTTTGGAGTCCCTGACCCCCTGCTCATGATCAGTAAGGACCTTCATGATAGTGAGCGGGCCCGGGTAAAACTACGTGGCCGGGAGTCAGAGCCATTGCCTGTACACCTTGGGATGTGATAGGGATGTCCTCTGGCTCCCACATTATTTAACATTTATTTTCACCACGTAGTTCGTGAAGCCTTCAATAGCTGTACCAGGGGAATCTCCATTTGGTACGGATATAATGGGAGGCTGATTGATGCCCGGGTGCGGTCAAGGGATGGCTCCCTATTGCTCAACCACGTTATGTATGCCGATGATTTGGTAATAGCTGCTCATTCAGAGGAGGAGTTGGAGACGGTGCTGCTGAGACTGGAGCGTGCCACTAAGAGATGGGGCCTTACCATCAGCCCCACCAAAACTAAGCACCTGCCTGGGTATTTTGTACCATCGGACACTCCACCCCCACAACTCCCAATCGGTGATGGGGCTGTTGTGGAGAGAGTGGAGCGTTTCCCATACCTGGGCAGTGTGCTTATCACCGGCTCCAGTTTAACAGCAGAGGTCTCACTCCGAATCAGTCGAGCGGCAATATCTTTTCATCGGTTGCGTAACGCTGTGTGGAAGCTACCTGGTCTGCCGCTCCGCACTAAGCTTCAGGTCTTCTCGGCCACGGTCATTCCCTCCCTTCTCTACGCTTGCGAAACGTGGACCCCCTTAATGGAAAATCTTCGTCGGTTAGAAACATTTAGGCTAGCCTGCCTACGATCCATCCTGAGTTTAAGCAGGCTGGATTGTGGGAGGAGCTCACAGATCTGGGCAAGATCCCATCGGTGAGCTCCTCCAGCAGGCAAGGCTGCGATGGCTGGGTCATGTAGCCCGCATGGCCAGCCACCGCATGCCGACACAGCTTTTGTTCGGCCGGATCGAGGGGGCTAAACGGGCGCGCCACGGGCTAGAGAAGAGATGGAGTGATGTGGTACAGGAGGACGTGGAGCTGAGTGGACTTGCCGATGACTGGTACCAGCGGTGTCAAGATCGGCCTCTGTGGAGGAGGCTCGTGAAGGACGCTACTGGGCAGTTGAAGGCAGTCGCCCTCCAACAACAACGGAGGGCGGAGAAGCGACGCTCACAACAACGAGCGGAGCGCTGGGTGGCTAAAGCACAGCAGGTTGGCACAGTAGGGGGCACAGGTGGTGCATCAGCCAGTCATCTCAGTCAGTCGACCCGTGGCACCTGGGTCTGCCCCGTGACCTCCTGCCAGGGGGCGTTCGACACTTCACGTGGCCTCAAGGTGCACATGGCCTGGCACAAGCGTCGTGGTGACGTCACCGCCACTTAGTGGCGAATGGCGGTTGTTGTGACTGGATTGTGTGTGTGGATCAGTGTGTGTGACTCGATTGTGTGTGTGGAGCAATCTGGCTGGATTGTGAGTGTGTGGAGCAGTGTGGCTGGATGTGACTGTGTGTGTGGAGCAGTGGAGCTGCATGTGACTGAGTGTGTGTGGAGCAGTGTGGCTGGATGTGACTGTGTGTGTGTAGCAGTGTGACTGGATGTGACTGTGTGTGTGGAGCAGTGTGACTGGATGTGACTGTGTGTGTGGAGCAGTGTGACTGGATGTGACTGTGTGTGTGTAGCAGTGTAGCTGCATGTGACTGTGTGTGTGTGGAGCAGTGTAGCTGGATGTGACTGTGTGTGTGTAGCAGTGTGGCTGGATGTGACTGTGTGTGTGGAGCAGTGTAGCTGCATGTGACTGTGTGTGTGTGGAGCAGTGTGGCTGGATGTGACTGTGTGTGTGGAGCAGCGTGGCTGGATGTGACTGTGTGTGTGTGTGTAGCAGTGTGGCTGCATGTGACTGTGTGTGTGTGGAGCAGTGTGGCTGGATGTGACTGTGTGTGTGGAGCAGTGTGGCTGGATGTGACTGTGTGTGTGTGTAGCAGTGTGGCTGCATGTGACTGTGTGTGTGTAGCAGTGTAGCTGCATGTGACTGTGTGTGTGGAGCAGTGTGACTGTATGTGACTGTGTGTGTGTGTAGCAGTGTGGCTGCATGTGACTGTGTGTGTGTAGCAGTGTGGCTGGATGTGACTGTGTGTGTGTAGCAGTGTGGCTGCATGTGACTGTGTGTGTGTGTGCTGTGGCAAACACCTCGGGATATTTTTGTTGTTGCACCGTCGGCGGTCGTCTCGACTGCTGCTGCAACGCTCCTTTTTTGTGGGCATCAGCCAAAAAAACATGAAGTAGACTTTCAACGATGCCAAACCTCTCACGTACAGTTCTTGCTATCAGTGAAAGGCACACAAAACATTCTGGCTCCCCTATCAGCCTATGGATTAAATCAATGAAACTGAAA